GCCGTCAAAATCGCCCAGGGAACGATTTTGACAGATACGCCCTGCTCGGCGCAAATGCTGGCGTGCATATGGAAAGGCATACACCAGGTGCGTTCGATTAGCTTACACGTGTAAGTCAAACTTACGCGAGAGCGTTCGTTTAGCCATCACGTGATCTTCGTGCCTGTCCATGGCGCCCCTTTCCTTCCCACAATGCCTTTCCACCATTATGCAAAATCACTCATGCGGTATCAGCATTAATAAGTCTTATTACTGCGGTGTCCCCGTCTTCAGGCGCGCATTCCCAAACTTGAATTGACGCATGCGTGATTCGGGTTAGCGGTGCACTCCCATTAGCCGAAGAAGCATTTAATTTGCGCATCTCATCTGTTCATGGGAGATCACACGTACGAAGCCAAATCACGGTGTTGTGTATGTCTTGCATGCGCATGTCCGGTCGTCGCGCTGGGACCGCAGCTCGTATAACCCTTCTAAGGCGCCCTCATTATACCCTTTATTGTACAACGCGTGTCATCCGTCCCACCAGTCATTAAGTCCGACTCAACGGATAAGCCAATCGGAAACCCTGTCGGTGATGGGTAGTTATTCACAATTGCATATGAACGACATAATCTTGCATAATACACACGGAATTTCCACCGTTATATAAATTAACATCTCCCCAACGCAAAAATACACCTAAAAAAAAGTAGCCGGACTTGTAGACTCGTTCATTATAACGCAGGTATGAACGACGTAAAGACATGTCCCAAAATGTGATTGGCTGCTACCACTTCTGGCAGATAAGCCCATTCACTGTGTACAAACAGTCCAGATTCGTCAATTCCGGGATTTCTGAACTGAAATCATAGTAATAAGTGGACACAGGGCGCGAGGCAAGAAACGGCGTGCGCCCAGCCCAAACAGGGCGCTGGAAAGGGCTGATGGCTTACATAGATTTTAATGAAGGCATACGCCATGGGGTTTCAGAAACGTGGCGCACAGCATTGTGGGTAAATTTCTGCCAGGCGCCCCAGCTCGCTCAACACCTTACATAAGCGTCGGTTAACAATCAATATTTTTCTCTTTTCCTTCCTCACACTGTGATTTTACCAATTAAGGCCATGTTTTTATCATACAGGCGACAATTTGTCCGTACCAAAGCATTGACATCGGCGCATCAACCAAAAAAATAAAAACCGCTTCGCTAACAGGAAGTGATAACCTCACTCGGTGCAGGTCGTGCACGAAGTAGCCAATCACAGTGCAAAGCCAAATGCCATCAGCACTTCCCAGCGCCCTGTTTGGGCGCTGGGTGACAGCGAATGGAAATCTCGGAGATCAGACAATGAAAACAGTCAACAATCAATTCAACGCTAAACAAGAATGACACAATAACAGGAAAGAACGACACAAATTCACCGTTCTCGCGGTTTATTGTTCCTTGATCGTTGCATAATGGTCCGATCATACGGTCAATGATACATAGCCATCACTCAAAATTTGAGTTTAATACGATAAAAAGTAAACGTCTTTTTTTGTTAATTTAACAATAAAACATGCGACACATTTACCCTTCAATATACATAAATAGATTCACACATTTTTATCATAGTTCCAACGACGTTGGACATATCTGGTGAATAATATAATTATTTTTTAATCCAACTATCGTGCATTATGAACATCCTTACATGACAGTTTATATATGTATAACACCCAGAGGAATACCACATCAAATATGAATGCTTTGGTTTAACCCTTGTGAATGCAGAGGCCTACACAGTGGTAATAGCATGACTACACGTAATGGTACATTTTGGCCAACATATAATGTGTGGGCGATAAAAATTACACAATATACTACCAAACCAGGTTCCAATCAGTTCTCAGGCGAGGGCAATTGTTCTTGTTGGCCAGGGACTCGACACGTACGCAGCATTTCTGCCATTAATGATATTTATGAAGACTTCAAGTTTCCGGCAGAGCTCCAACACGGCTTCGCCGTCTCGATGCATTTACACATTGCAGGGCGTGAGTAGCCAGTTAAAAATCAAAGCTGAAAACAGCCAGCAAAAGCTGAAATGTAAACAGATCAGATACTTCTGAACAGACCAGGTGTACAAAAAAGCTGAAATTCAGGGTCAACATTTAAACAAAAAGCTGAAATCAGCTACAAAGGTGAAGTCTCGCACCGCTGACAATGCTAAAACACACGACTACCCTAGAAAACACTACCTTAAACCGTACAGCTGTGGTTGATCTCCGGGACAGAAAGGGTTACATTACGGTTCGAGGATACCTTACCTATTTGTGGTAACGATTATTTATTAGCAGCTGATCAGGCCAAACTGCACATACCTTATTTAAATAAATGAAATCATTGGGCTGATTGATCACTTGACCAGCTTCAGAAAACAAAAGTTGCCAGTAATATTAAAGTTTAAGTCATAAAATGTGTCTTTACGCACTTTCAGTCCAAGTGTGTGCAAACTATCGACCACAAAATTACTTAGTAACCTAACAAACGGCACGGCCAACAGCTCCTCTACCTAAAAATACCACGGCGGCGACAACATCGGATTTCTTTGAATGCCATCTTTTTAATTGCATAATACTGACAGGAGAAAAAATCCAAGACAGGAGACAGTTATATCGTTTGATGCACGAACTATCACGAACAGGCAAAAAAAAGAGGACAGTAGAGGCTACACCAGACAGAATGGGGAAAAAAGTCTGCTATAGGCCTACACCGCTAATTACTAACTACGACGTAAGCAGGACGTATTCAACTTGCGATCGTTTACACGTACAGCATGGCTTGCTGGGAGCTCAAGTAGGCAGGACGCAACCAGGGAACTTCAACATTTGTACACACTTAATGCAAAACAAATACATATAGACATCTGTGGGAACAGAAAACTCAACTGAAGTCCAAATTAAATTCGAAGTCAAGTGGAAAGGGTTGTGTTCAGACTCGATTTCCTTTTTCTCTGAGCACCTCTCACATCAGTCCTCTTGTACCACACCGGAAAAATCGCATTAAGATGTTACAACTACGAATTAAACCACGTAACCTACTTGATACGGACCTTCAATGACACTTTTTAGTTGGGTATTGCAGACAACTTTTAAATGGGATATCAACAGTTTCTGTTCACGATCTAACTTAAGGCATGTTGCTTTCAATTCATCATTCAACTTGATAAATTAATGAAGCTTACAAAATGGGCAAAAGGTGTACAATGGTATTTCGTACATGTAACGAATCAAAACTGCCACGGTCAGTCTATGATGCATATTTCACGATGGCGCAGCCTTTCTAGTTTGTACGTCCTTATGGACCACGCCCACTGTACATGGACTGGCAGAGGCAATTGAAAAGGGGAGTGGAGGAATTCTGTAACCCCTCCCTCCTAACATAAACATACTGGAAACTAAACACCAGTTGAAGCATACAGTAGACGTGATAGGATGATTTTTAGTCCTCACAGTTCGGACACAACTTCCCCAACAAATGAAATTGTCACCTTAACGTGGGAAGGCCTACCCACTATACCCCCCCCCTAAAAAAAGGAACACACACAAGCACCCAAACTCATCCCAACCCAACCCTAACCTCTCCTGAAGGGGTGGGTTGGTGTGGTGCTGGAGCAGGTCACCTGTATGTACTTTCCCTTTCCCCAACCCTAGACCCACGCCCTGAAATAGTTCCAACGAAATCCTGTATTCAAATGCAATGCTATGAACTAGTAAGTCGTACAAAAACCCCTCACGGAATTCCAAACTGTACAAGACTTCGCCTTTAGAGGTCTTCAATTTGCAGCGGCACAAATGTGAAATTAGAGACGAGGAATGAAGCCGATTCAGAAGAAGTTGCAAGCCTGATAAAAGACTTATCTGTTCTGCTGAGCCCGTCACCGCAGTGGACGATATAAGTTATCAAGCGGTTGTTGAATGGGACATTACATTGTATGAGTCTCCTATAGGGTAAAGAAACTTTGGCAAGTGGCCAAAGCCTGTATTAACAATGTTTCAGTGACAGTAATGTACTTCGTCTTCTCAGCCTATTTTGCTCCAAACCTGAAGGAAAGCCACTTCATCATAACTATTTCCATTTCAATCGTCCTGTGCTGTGTCTTCCACGTAAAGCTGCCACAATTAACAACAAAGCCAAAAACAAACAAAGCTATCACAAACAACAAAAAAGATCACAACTGTTCCATGAACGGTGTGAAAAGTAATCATACAAAAAACAAAAATGTGCCCTGTTCTCTGGTCCTTGATTAAAAGTTGGCAACATTCTAATACTATTTCACTGTCCTATTTCAAGTTGGGCCAATTCGAAAATTCCTGGTCTCCTCTTTGGGCAAAGATAAACACAGTTCTAGGAGGAAAAATAACACAATATGACAACCAAGTTATCCTCCTCTTCAGCTATGTACATGTAATATTGCAGTTGTAGTTAATATTCACACCTCTCATTCTATATACACATGTATTACATATTCTTGTACACTTTCATGTGATTGGTCATCTTGTGGTCATAATTAACTGTACATTACCAACACATACACTTTTATTAACAGCCTACTGGAATGTTAGTACTTTTCAAACCCAACAATTAAGCAGCCCCACCAAAGGGAAAATTGAAACAGCCCGGGAAGATGAAGTGTTTTAAGACACTGTTTGAACACTTCTATGAACTTTGTTAATGTTCCAAGTTCAGTTTTAACCAAATACAAGACAGACAGTACACGAGAAACAGTACACACTTAATATTGTCCCGGGGTTAGTAGGAAGAACATTTAAAAAAATGCAGAAATGCTAAGACTTGGAATAAAGGGTTTCAAAAATAGCTATTCAGTGACTGTACTGTAGTTGAGACCTCCTTGTACCATCGCAAGACTCAAGGCAGGGCAATTACACAAGACCTCCAGTCTGAACTCACAAAGTCACAAGCTTTTTAGAAGAACTGCAACAAAAGTATTATTATTGAGGATTTGCATGGTAGCCATCTTGCAGGGCAGTACTTCTGTTCCACAGGGAAACCATCTTTGTGCATACCCTGTGGAACCATAGCACTGGCCTGCAAGATAGCAGCCTAACAACCCCTCCACACTATAGCCACTGTTAAACCCTGTTACTTGTGACTGGTCTTATGTCTGGTCTTGCTATGGTCTTCACCACAGCACGGCTTGATGACCTAATGTTTCGAAATACCCTAACCAACGTGAATAGAAGCAACAATGTTTACTTCATGAACTTCTACAATAAAGAACTGAGGCTTCAGAAGACTTCACTGAATCAGCAGGGCAGCTGGGCTGTACACTCACTTCAAACAACACAATAAATCACAAATAAAAAAAAAACAAAATAGAAAAGACACGTTGATGATTATAACACCTACCACACATTATTGCTTATTAGTTTGAAAAATGATACGCAGATATATTGAAACGGTTTTCTTTTTATTGATAAACGTTCACCTGAAATATCTTACACATGTAAGTAGCATTACTCCTGTTTGGGCAGTGGGGCCATCTACTGTTACATTTTTAAATGTTATTCAGCATTTGTAGGACAAACATCAAAGTAACGCTGTGAAAACAATGGCAGAATTGAAAATGGTTCAAAAGACTAAGTAACCTACAAGTCACATCCCATTGGAATGTGTTGACCCCTAACCTCGAAAACTGTTAATGGGAACCACGCGTATAACCAACAAAATATAGGATTTGGGAGCCTTCGATGAACTTGCAAAAGTCTGCCTATTTACCTCTCCATCTGAAAGAACAGAGGCATTTTGGGATCAAGGTTGTCTGCTTCAACACTCTGAGGAACAGTCGTTGATGCTATCATCAAACAGCCAGCTTGCAGGATGTTTTTTTGCAGTGGAGGGTAAACAAGACTATTTTCTTCAAGTTTTTTTTAATTGCCAGAAAACAAAGGAATGTCCACATGAACATGTAAAATAAATATGGGAATTAATGTTTACACCCCGAATGGTTAACTCTGGTTTCAGGAACACAAGAATTTGGTTGAGTACAACGTCCCTTGGCAAAGGTTCAACACTAGTGTGCAGGATGTCAACATCAGCAACACTCTTATTCAGTTCTTTCTTAATTCAGGGATTCATGTTCTTCTTTGGGCATGTGGCATGATCGGCGATGGTTGCGGCCCAGCTACAAGATGCTGTCCCACTCGGGCAGGGAGCGCCACTTCATGGTGCCGTCCCCACCGCAGGAGTACAGGTGGCTGGAGGGCAGTATGGCCAGCTGCAGCACCCCGTTGCCCGACTGCCGGAAGAAATTCCCCCGCGGGTGCTGGCCAGGGTAGAAGTGCAGCAGGCTGTGGACGGACAGGCACCACACCTGAGCCCAAACAAAAAGAAGTCATAAGGGTTGGCATTCGTCATCGTTGTGTACTGACACGAGGCTACGGTCGAAAAGCCTGCTCGTGCGACTGAACAGTGGTGGGTTCTGATCTAGGCAAACTGTCAGGGGTAGCATAACTGGGGTCAAATTTCAGGAAGGAGGGGATCCTAATTTTGTAAAATGTCTTTTTAAAAATCTCTTCCTTTTGGGAAGGAAAGAAAAGGGGGGGGTTCCACAGCTGATCCTATGCTGACAGTCCGAGCCAGCCCTTTGCTGGCCATGACTTCCTACGCGCAAGCCAGGGCAACCAGTACCATGCCTTGGAGGGAGGAAACCCTGTTGACCAAACACTGGCTGATTGATCAAAACAATGCGACCCTGGAAAAGAACTCTTCAATTGAGTCTCTGCAACTGCAGTGGTTATCAAGGTGCCGGTAATTAAAGGCCTCTTGACCATGTTTAGTGACACTAATGATGCCTGTTTCCTTTTGATTTGGATTCTTTGCGGACGTGTCTCCCTCACTAATGACCATGTAAAGGCATCACTCTAAATGGAGGGGAAACTTCTGTCAATTCAGTGATGAACATATGACACTTTTAACGAGCGTGAACATGTAAGGTACATGTATGCTCTCACAGAAACTGTGTACACAGTTGTAGAATGCTTTCCCCTTCACTGACTTGTATATATCAACAATGTTGTCTGCATGTTTGTGAAAAATGTAACGAGGTAACTCTGAGTGTAAGATGTTTACAAGTTTACATCCGCAAAGGGACAAACACCCAAAATCAAATTAATGTTCATCTCTCCATGCAAACATTACATCTTATAAAAAAATTAGTTTAACTTCTTTATTTAGATCTATGTATAATGGCCCAGCATGACTCATTCTTGACGTTCTAAAAAGGATCAGAAACAAGGGAGGAAATGTGAGCCTTTCCTTCTGGGCACACTGCACTCATGAAACACAATGCACCAATGGAGGCTGCCAGCCAACGGCTTACACAACTTCTCATAGGCGTCCATGTTGCATCCAGCTGTAGCCATACCATTTGCAAGCAGCCCGGCTGCATAGTGACCTCTTGAGTATTTGCAAGAAGACAGCGGATATCAGCAATTACTGTAAAGTTTTACACACCACCCTCAAAAATGAAAAACTACAACAATTTTGAAGAGGGTTTTGCTCTTGATTGTCTGAATATGTGGAGCACCATACGATGAGATGCTGTCTGGAAATTGAGTTTGCTCCGGTGGGAAATGAAGACATGAATTCCTGTTTGGGACATAGCTCCGGAAATTGTAGATTAAATGTAATATAATTAATGAAGTATTAAGTGTTTATTAAACCGTAAGTCACTGAACTACCTGAAACTAACCAGCGTGTTAGTCCAGGTATTGCCTAAACTGTCCAAGCACTCTGGCTTTTTGGACCCACTGGTGAATAAAGACAATGGAAAACAATGTAGAACAGGTGTGAAGAGGTTGGAATGACTTCAGTGAAGAGTGAGGCTTGAATTTACATCTCCCCGATCTCAACTCTTCCACAGAAACATCCCCCAAAATTCAAAAGACTGACCTTGATATCGCCCTCAGCTGACCCGGTCACGAAGTACTCCTCCGAGGGGTCGATCGTCAGGCACTTGATGCCTGTGTCGTGCGCCTGGAAGGTGTGTCGCAGCTTGCGCTGCCGGATGTCGTAGATGGAAATGTCCCCCTTCTTGCTGCCCGTGATGAGGATCTGCTGGCGGGGGCAGTAGGAGAGGCAGGGGCAGCCACCCTCGTGGCAGGTGAAGCCTGAGACCAGGAGGGAAGATTGAGGGGGATGAGAACAGCTCGGCACAGCCTGGACTGAAAAATGGGCCTCCACCTCTCTGACCCCGGTTCAAAGAAATGGCAAGGGTGCCAATGTCCTCCTGCCCTTACCATCGGTCAACACTCACATGCGGGCACTATGTTTCGCGAGATTTCTACCAATCAAACTTCCTACAAATGCACAATGCCTGCAATATTGACTGCGAGCCGACTTACGCTAAACAACAACATTTTTGTTTGGCAGATTTCTGTGTGGAGGGCAGCCCTGTGAAATTGGACCCATGGTATCAACTTAGAAGGGGAAGCAAAAAAAACAACGGCAAAGGGAGGGACAACAAATGGAAGAAGACCCACTGTGAATCATGGCCTTGCTCATGGGCATCAGCGTGTCCCACAGACAGAGATTCTTGCTCTCCGACGACAGCCCCGCCGTGGCCAGGAAACTGGACGACCCCAGGAAGCTGAAGTCGTACAAGGCCTTGTTGTGGCACAGCTTACTCTGAATATACAGAGAGGGGAAAAACCAAGTCAATCAATCAAACTCAAAAGACGTCACTCCTGATGCCATACACGGGACAAATCTCTGTAACTATACTCGCTGCTGATTAACTTGAACGGACAAGCTGACCCAAACAAGCTCAGGGGTCAAGCAGTAAGCTGTGTGCACTAGTGAAGCACGAGGTCGTGGGTTTGCATTCAATCCAAGTAAGCGGGTGAATGTTCTCACAAGCCTTTGAACAACACTAAATATACAGTGTCATAAATATGTCGGTGAAGAGCCAAACTCCCAATATAAAATTAGACAAGATCAAGATCACTTCTTGAATTTTTTCAGCAAATCAGCCAGCACTCCATCAATTACACATGTTTGGAGGACAGATTACTTCTAACAAATAAAAGATTCTGCTTTGGATCCAGCTGGATTCATCTAAAGGCCTACGGTATTCTTGCTTGAGGATTTCTGTGTTTGCAGAACTGCAACAACACTCAACTAAAGCATATCTTGAATATTAAATAAAAAATGGGCCACTTAATAGTCACTAGTAGACGTCAAAGAACTGGCTTAGAGCCATTCATATGTTGCCAGACCAGATTTTTAACTCGGGGATATCGAGTGGTTGTGGGGATCAAAGACACATACCCAGAATGGCTTGGTGACAGTCGGCGCATTCATCCCAACTTGCCACAGGGAGAGTTTGCCGCTGTCGTCTGCGACACCGAACTGCAGAAAGGCAAACAGGATATACATCGAACGATTCGATAAAATCTAGCAAAACCTAAGCAGATGTTGTCCTTGAAAATGACTGACGCCATGATGGTTGCTGCTTGTGACCTTGGCTGTCATGTTGCAGGTTTAAGCAGCCGAAAGAGGAATTGAATTTTTTGCTCTCCGTTGCATTATATGAAAAGTAGACATTATAGGCAGCTCAATTCCTTCTGCATCACGACTATGGAGAAATTTGAATTTCAAAAACAATTATTTTATCATACTCGTTTGGCTCGGAGAACCATCAGTAAAATACATGCAATATGCTCATTAAACTTGTGCAACCTTATTTGCGTTAATATAGACGCTGCTCCAGAAAGAGGATTAAGAATGTATTTTGTTGTCCACATGTTAAGCAAAATCTGATCAGTTCAACAGTGTAACGTGAATGTGGACGACACTTGCTTTACTCAAGCCTCACCTTATTGCCTTGGTCGTTGAAGTACATCTGGGTGACCTTGGGGTACTGGCCGGGAAACCGATGGGTGTAGAGTTTGTGGGTGTGACCCCATTCCCACATGTGGACGCTGCCGTCATTCGACCCACTGAGATCTGCAAGCAGGCCAAAAAAAACAACAAAAACTGTATATTAATCCAAACCCCACAGCGTGTATGTAAAATTGTACTGAAATTGGAGGATTTGGGACTGTTAGGGTTAAAACTAAAAAAATGTGAACTTTGATCGTGTTTCTAATGACACTGTTGGAAATGGCTCTCTTTTACTGTCTTCTTCAACATGGTAGCTTGCCAGAAAGAACAATATCAGAGAGAGTTTGGTCCCATAACCCTCTTTAAACTAAGTATGCTTTACAATGATAAGTTTGCCAGTCACTTTTTGGATCACTGCAAATGATGGACTGTACCTTTAAGCGATGGCTTGATTACTGAATCTTCTGAGATCAGACAAGGTTAAATATGAGAGACCCTTAAGGATTTGGACAGGTATGTTGCAACAATTTCTGAAAATTCTGATGTGAGATTTACTGACCAAGCAAAAGGAAAAATGAAAGAATGAAAGCAATTGTTTTTGATAATAATCAGAAATGAAGAGCACTTACAATACGGTAATGATGGATGGGCAGCTAGTCTCCGGATGTGGTACAACGGACGACTCGTTATCTGCAGGGAAAAAACAAAACACAATGGCAGGTTCCACTGCATGGGAAGAAGCAGGCAATTGTTGTGAAGTGGTATGGAGGAGGATTTTGAAGCAGGGGGTTTGAAAAGAAAAAAATTTTGGAAGTAGGCAGGGTTCTGAATTTCGAATCGGAACAAAAGCTATCGCAACATCCAGGCATGAAGGGTTTGGCGTTTCTTCCGTTCATGACCTGCTCTGTGCAGAAGCGCCCCCTCAATGGCAAACAAGAGAAAGGATGGTGGGGACCACTTCAACTGGGCACATGGTACGGACAAGAGGAACATACATTCAAACAGAAATTGGTGGCACAGTGGATGAAATTTGGCCAAAAAAGGGATCAGACGGAACAGAGCCACAACAGTAATTTTGCTCAGCCAACTTGAGATGACATTCACCAAGGTAGCATGAGAACGCATTTGCAGAGTTAAAAAACTTATTAAGCACAAAAACCAGGATGAGAACAGCAACAGAATTTTGCTTTGGGGACTTTTACCGTCAATTTCCTTTGGACATTTTGTGTGACTCCATGTGCTTTTGGTGGAACATACAGCAAATGGGGTCAGAAAATGTCCCATGTCTGACCGTTATTTCACACTCTGGAAACGCATGCTCATCCCGAACTGCACCAAACACATAAGACCCGGCTGCCCATGTGGTGTGACCCCACCAATAGGGCATCACTGCTATAATTGCTTTCTCTTTGTATAAAGGCTGCTTGTTAGGGTGGCTTGGGCTAGAGTCAAAGGTAAAGCTAATTCTTTCCAGCACTCACGATGTTGGTGCCTCGCCCTGTTTGGTTGGAAAGATTCAGCTCGTTGGAGAAGCCGGAGGAGATCCGGGAGGCAGGGATGGAGGAGTTGGAGAAAGGGTTGGCTACCGGGCGCTCGATGGGTGTGACCATCAAGAAGTCTTCTTCCAAATGACTCAGAGTAGTGCCTCGGCTGAATGGTAAAAGGAAGACAAGCCAAACCAAATGGATCATTAATTATAAGATTCTTCCAACTTAAGCCAATCAGCTTTCTAAACAAAAAGAGCTTAAGTCATTGCAGCTTTTGACTTTTGTTTTCAAAAAATATGAATCAAAAAACCCAGTAGGAAATGTTGAGTCACTTTTAAGGTAACAGAGAAATATGACTGTTGAATAAGAACAGAAAAATTGTCTGTAAGATTAAGCAGGGTAAGATTGAACTTTAACAGTGTTAAGAGAAAACAGGCAAGACTGCAACTTTCAAGTATCTGTCGAACTGTACACTGGCCTACTGCTGGCCAATGAATGAAGGGAATTATTTGAAGAAACTGGACTACGCTATATCCAAGAGAATTCAAGGCTTCAAATTTATTGATTCGTACAATTCGTTGGGAATAAATCACATCTGAAGTTGACTTGTTTATGGAAAACCCTAGGATTGGTACATGTACTTATATTACTGGAGATCATTCAGGGGTAGAGAGAGGGCACTGTGAACCCATATTGTGGCTTACTTTCGCGGAGTGGAGTGCTCATCAATTTCCTCCTCCATCCAGAAGGTCTGTTGTGGGTTCAGAAGGAGCGATATGTCCAGCTCCAGCAGGCCACGTTGGGTGGATACAACCACACCGGTGGGATTTGCCTGATGGAAACACCACACCCATACACATTACATACAGAACCGGAACAGTTCCTAATTGTTTCAGACGTTAACTGATGAAGCTCAGTGCACTGCAACTGAAACTTAACCCCGCGCAAAATGACTGGGAAAAACTGTGAAAAGAATTCACATTCACGGGCAAATTTCCCACTTGTGAAAAAAAAAGCTGTGGAAAAGTTTCCCCCTTGTGAAAAACAGCTGTGGAAAATTTTCCCGCTTGTGAAAAACAACTGTGAAAATTCTTCCCGCTTGCGAAAAACAGCTGCGAAAAATTTTCCCACTTGGGTAAAACGGTGTGAACATTTTTAGTGAAAAAAGTGTACAAAATTTCCCACTTGTGAATTTCTATTTCACAGATGGGGGAAAAGGTGAAAATTTTTCCACTGAGGGGAAATTCTTTTTTTACACTTTTCCCAGATGGGAAAAAGTGTGAAAAGTTTTCCCCCTTTTGAGGTTAACTTTAAATTGCAATGTGATGTATGACCAACTGCACGGGGACTGACTATTTTTAAAGCAATAAGAAAAGAATGGGGGGAAAAACAAAGACGAAAAAGGAGAGAATTCCCTGGCCATTGCTGTAGCAATTTCATGGAGGCTCCGGGTTGAGCTCGACAAGGGGGTCTACCTGATTTTTCTTTTTGTCCCTTTGTTCCCAGTTTGAGGTAGTTAGGGGATAAGACCCCCACTGCGGTAGGGCTGTGCAGTGTGCTGTGCTGCAGTTTCAGATAACGATGTGCATAACAGAGCAAATCTGCCGTAAGTGGGAAATTGTAGGGTCAGAATCCGCAGCAAGGAGCAAAGGTTGCTGACTTCAGAGGCAGCAATATCACTCTGGCGTAACCATCCACACTAGTTCTTCTCACAAAACCAAGGTGACAACCTCTGACAGCAATGGTTAGGTGCGTGTGTGCTTCTTAATGTGATTCAAGGGCTGCATGAATAAAGATGACAATGTCTCACACTTGAAGTGTCAGAGCAGTTTTTTTTTAAATTTCAACTACATAAGAAAGAGTTACATATACTCCAGGTGTACTCCAAATGTCCCGTGCAAATATCACAGGATTTAATAGTGCAAAGGATTTGCCGTGACGAAACAAGAGAAAAAGGCAGCCTGACATCCTGTCTATTAATGTCAAACTAAATTATAAAGAGAACCTGCAGTATGTAACTGGCTTGTCTTGAGGCTGGCTTATTAGTCCATCAGTTAACTAACTAGTACATTTGCAAGCCAAGAGAAGAAAGGCAAATCAATCCACGAATCTTGCCTGAGTAGCAGAGGCCAGCCAAGATCATGAAAGCAATATGTGAAAGTCTTCAGCCGGCTCTCGAGTTTGTTAATAAGCAAAGAAACTGCTACGAAATTGACACTACTGATTCGTTTTCCAAGAAGGGAAATGAAGACGGCTTCTCGCAGGTTTGACTCCATAATCCTCAAAAACCCCTTTGCGTCAGAGGTTTTCCTACTTGAAAGGGTTTGAAGCTGTCTGGTGAAGCAATGGTTTCAAGTAGCCACTTCTTGCTGCTAACGTAACAACATATACCAGTCGCTTTACAATGATACGCCATCCATTTCAGGCACAAATCACATTTTTGTTTTGAACAGTACACATACTTTAGACATATTTATCAAATTTGTTTACAGGACTATCTTCACAAACCAAAATTCAAAAAGGCACTCTTCCCTAGCTTGAAGAGAGAGAAATGGGTTTTTTTAACATGCAGTTTACATGAAAATGACTTCAACTGCATGAGGGTCATGCTGAACATCTGGCAATTGGTAAGATTTGATGGGCTCTTTTTCATGAACGAAAGCTTCCCGCCAACAGGCCTTCAACGTTAATAAATGCCCTCCACCGAGAAAGGAAAAAACAAATGCCACGTCAAAAACTATCTACGAAAAACCATGGAAACGTGAAACTGCACAATCTCCCAAAAACCCTGCTCACCAGCGTTTTGATCAGTCATCAAAACTCAATGTTACAAATACTTCAATGTCTTGCAGCAGCAAGGCAAAATCTCTGATCTCCAGATTGATGAGCATCTGCTTTTGAGCAGTCTCTGTTCAAGCAGCATTAAGAACGATCCTTTCCTCTCTGATTTGAAGTACTCTCTAACTGGTCAAGATGGGACATGTTGGTGGGAAAGTGTCAGCTTGGAGCAAAGAACATCGCTCAATTCAACAGAAATTGGTTGCGTGTGCTTGACACACCCTGCATCAAATGCACAAGAACGTTTCTGCACCTATGTGGTGTTTTTCAACCAAAGGGATGCTGTTCTTCTGTTAAAAAAAAGCAGCCATCCTTCCTTCATTCATGGAGCAAATAAAACTTTCTAGGCATTGTTGAAAATCTCCATAACTCTCAGCAAGAAAACAACCGTACGCTCTCCACCAAACTTCTCAATCCTTACAATGGACATCGGTACCCAAGCACTCACAATGGCTGGATGTCCACCTTCCTCAATCCTGCACCTAGCCTCTAGACTACAACCTTCTCGTGGAGTTACAAGGATCTGGGAGGATTAGCTTTGTGAATTACGTGCAAATGAGCTCCTCCACCAGAAACCTGTTAAATTTGGAGGGCAAAAGCTTGGTTAGGGTTAGTCATTTTGTAAGTATCACGCCACGAGCACAGCATGCAAAAAAGGCTGACAGATCCCAACGCCTAAGGTATCATGCAAAATGCAGCTAGTAATCGAGGGATCGTAGTACATACTCGGTATTCTCCATTCATTGTCACGTTCTTCCAGTCAGCCTGATCGGAGGAGGAAGGAAATCAGGATTGAAAGGGAAGGGCATTAGACCAAATGATTATCACATGATCATCACATGACAAGCACAGACCACACGTAGGTACTAGCATAGCCTTGTGCAAAGGGTAACATGGACACTGTGGGAGAAATGATTATAATGCAAAACACAATGCATTATTTGTCACACAGTCACACAAGTTAGCAACAGACACGAAACAGATTACAAGGACACACTATGTAAAAAATTGCTGACGCAAATGCTGATAAGTCAAATATTGGGTTTAACTATGAGGGTGATTCGGCTCCCATTTAATTCAAAACTATTACATCCAACTTAACTTTGGAAGCATTTCAAAATGGTTGGAGACTGGAATGTACATATCCAACAAACACGTTGATACTCGACAATCGAGTTCCATGCAAACATTGGGGTAACAATTCACTCGAATCATTTGTTTTCAAACTTTGCCAAGAGATAAATGAAGTGTCATTTTTCGCTTAGTATAAAGATGACCAGGCCTTCCAAATAAATACAGGATTAGGGAAAAAATATCAACCTGTTGCTATTTTGACGAGGACCCACTTTCACCCCAATCATTTCGCTTTGACAACAACCCCTTTGTTTCATATGAACCCTTAATCCGATTAATATTTTCTCAAGAAACTTTGCTTATGCAGTCCATTTAGTGTGGCGTGTGGAATCATTGGAACTGGACCCAATGCTGAACGTTTGGGGATTAGCTAATGGGTGCTGGTACTCTCCAGAGCATTGCATGCTTGTGATACAGTCCCTAACAAACTAAACGTTTTTTCTATGGTCTTCCACTGTGCAAGACACCAATGGCAATTCTTTGAGTTTCTCCTTTCATGGGGCCAACGTCCTCTCTCCCATCGGTCATTACTCTTCCATGTTTACATAAGAGGGAGTGCTTTCTAGTCCAGGGAACAACAGGAATTACAACTGATTCACCAATCTCTTTCTCCGCACCCGTCCAACATCCACTTATTCATCGGCATAATCATCAAAGAATGGCACATAAGGCTGCTTGCAGGCTTTCCGTTATTATTCAACTGAATGATTTAACACAACCACAACAGGTAATTGATAAGACCAAACGGACCTTGAGTTGTATAACCCAAGGCCTGAAACTGCACGGCTAACTGATATTGCACAATGAGCTCAGGCCTCAAACTTACTTTGGCACAGGTTGCTGCTTGCTTCCAAACTCAAATAAAGTTCTCTGTAACTTTCAAGTTCTCAATATAAACAGATCAACCTTTTTTTATAGTGCTTTGATATCTTTATGTGATGAAGAGAATAGGGAAACATAAGCACAGATTCATGAACGACTGATTTTTTTTTTTACTGTGTACAAACATGAAAATGTACTTCATCAGAAATTTTTTACACAAGGTTTTTCACTTGGAGAGTTTTCCAGCCACTCAGGGCCGACTGGTCTCGCCTCTCAAAAAGTTGAGGTTCAAGCCTGCAACGTAACAGCCGAGCGAGCTGGCTTTGTTTTTAATTTACAGTTGATTTCTACTTCAACAGAAGGCAACATAAAGACACAAAATAAAAAGACCAGGGTGGAGAGTTACATGTACCTCCGGAAAGGGGGTTGCATGGAAAAAGTGGGAAAGTTATTGAAAAGAATTAAGTCCGAAGAAGAAATAACATGACTTCTAGCATTCCTCAAAGTAAAAACAGAACCCACGATTATATTAGACACAAGATAAGGATGTACATGTATGGGGGAGGGGGTTAAGGACGGGAGCCCTTCCTTCCGCATTTAGCCACCAGTCAGTAGGCGCATCTAAGCATACCTTGTTGAAGCAAAAGGCTGGGATTTTCTCCTGTTCCTTGTGAATGATGCGGACTTTGGAAGTCGGCACTGTGCCAAAGGCTGGAAGGCCACGAACTGAGTCAACCTGCAGAACAGGAACAAAATTTGAAAACCCGGAATGACGTTTGCACAGAAAACCCCAGAAAACAATTTGGGAATACAGGAGTAACGTGATGCTCACTGATTTCCATGTGAACAAAATCTGGATATAAACGGACAGAGGAGTTGTCTTTTTGAACCAATGATGATAGTGGGTGTAACTGGTTTCCTCCACACATTCCAGTGGACGAATGGAGAACCAGGACAGAGATTCAGTCTGTACTACACAGAATGGCCAATGAGCTGCAGCGGGAACAATACTATACGCATATATGCATACTGTAATCATTGAATCTATAAAGCGTACGCTAGTTGTGGACACACACATTACCGTGTTAATGACCCTGGTTTTTTTTAACAAGATGATCGATGAAAATCGAAATCCATTACTTCACGTTTTGTCGGTGCCCTTAATTTCAACTTTACAAGAGTTTACTGTACTTGGTATTACATTTTCGCTTTCAATCACAATAACTGGTTGGTAATAATACTTGGTACAAGAAAAGAAGTAAAAGATTACGCTGAGTTGGATTTGAACCAGCCATCTACTGCTGAAACGCAGACACCTCAACACTCTTTGACAAATTCAACATTTTTTTCACAACACTGTTCCTCTGTTCACTGATAAGTGCACCCTCTTTTGCAAACAGGTAAGTGGGATGTTCATCGTGTCTCACCATGTCTTCCATTCCCCTCTTCTTTTTAAAGATGTAGGTAATGAAGATGTCTTGCACCACCTCTTGTCTCACGAGGTAGTTCCACAGACGTTTGGTTGATAGAGCGGCTCTGTGCTTGCACCTGTGGAGGTAAGGGAGTTGTTTTTTTACTTTCATTCTTCGGTAACAAAGAGGCAAAAGTCTCTTGGGAGTAACTATCAAATGAGGAGTGGAAAATTGGGGTGGGGGGAAGGAAGAATGGACTGCTAAAAACTGTCAGCTCTAGGTACTGGAGACAAACCCCAGAGTGTTACTTATTAAAAAAAAAAAAATCACAGTAATTTGGTGCAAGGTCATACATCCATCCATGTACTGTACCAGAAATGATATGAACTGGGGACGCCAATATGAGATGCATTAAGGGTGCCACCACACCTTAAAATACAGCATACAGAATCGGCCATTCCCTCTATGACACAAGTAGACAAGCACAAATGATTTGATAAAAAGGATACCGTTCCCTTCGAGGATGCAATTTACAAATTAAAATATACAGTGCTCTGCAAGAGCTTGTCTGAAAAAATTGTTAATACAAGAGTGAGACTTCGACCCATGACTTCCTGTTGAATGCAAAGATCTCAACCATTAGACAAGATACTGGGGTAACTCTCATAAGAGGTGAGTCTTCAAACTCTACTAGTGTCCCACTCAGGAATGTTCCACTCGTGGGCGTTGCCAGGATTTCTCGGGGGCGGAGAGAGGGGCAGGGGGGTTAAGAACTCAGCAGCAAACTGACAGATCCTCAACAGTGGAAGAGGGTCAAGTAAAATATTTTAACAGCAAATTGGTGATTTTCATCCTCGTTCTCCCTTTGTTTCATTTTCTCCTTTTTCATTTTCCACTTTATTTCTCCATTTCTTTATCAGGTGGACACATGCAGTTCAAGCATTTGCCCCCCCCCACGGCACCCATGGTGACTGCAAATACTGTTGGCCTATGCTGACGGACGCTAAAATGGGCAGTTTCATGGAGCTGCCTGCTAGAATGGTAATTTGTCCAGATGAGAATAAGACATACCAAAAATTGAAAATGTTGATGTTCAAAAGAAAAAGTTCCAAGTTTTGAACACTCGCTATCATTCCCCAACAATCAATTAAACTCATCTACCTGAAGGGCGTGTTGGTGGGTTCCAGGAGGCCCTTGTAGCGCAGCAGGGCGGGGCCGCCCACAGCGCTGGGCATGTCCACGTTGCATCCCGGGATGTAGTCCAAGGGCGGGCCGGCAAACAGGTCCAGCTTCCTCATCAGGGCTTGCTGCCACTGCTCCAGGAGTTTGAGAATGCTGTGAAGCTTGGGGGAGGCCACGGGGAGCTCTGTTGTTCACAAACAGGAATAAAAACTTATTTTCATAGTTTTCCAATGGGTACAATTTTTTCAGTGGACGCTTCTCTAACCCTCGTCCTCTTTGAGTCACCGACAGACAAAATTTTCACCCCGCTTTCCCCACCACAGTACATCGATTTGTTTTATCTCGGTGCTGACTGCACTTTCATTGGTAACCAACATCATCTGACTGAGCAGTAAAAATGCACACTCCCCTCGTTCCTTGCACATCACATTAATTTTACTTTGATCTCCTGTGTACACCCACTGGTGCCCATGCTATTTTATACATATACCCATGGCAATAGCAAACTGTAGAGGGAGCAGTGTACTGGCAGACAGTCAGCTGTTGGAATGCCTTGTACATCACATCCAGTTCACTCAAACTTATGTAGACCTTGCTTTTGTGCAAGACATGTGTGACCAACGCAATTAAAACAATACCATGAGTCCATCTGCACTGTACAAATTTCTGTACGGGGATGGTCGAAGCTTAAATTCACGACTCTTCTGGAAAATGCTGCCAAGAACTGTAGACCACTGTAATGTGGGATATGGCATCTTTTTCAAACATCCGGGGCTCTTAACAACCAAGGCTTCGACTCAGTCAACAACTGTTAACTCCTTCGCTACGGAGGACTGCTACTACCGCACCACTGTGTGATGATTAGTGCCTACCACACATACTGTCTATTCACCAGGCAGCTGCTGGTTCAATGGGGCCTTCTGCTGGACAAGGCCCTCCATTCAGGGCATACCACAGCCCAGCAGTCGTGGTCAAAATAATCCCGCCGTGAAGGGGTTAAATGATGTACACGGGAAGCATAACAAATGAGAAAATCCAAACGAGAAAGCTGAATGCCGGTATACTATGAACGTTTGGTCGGCAAAAGTTGCAAGTGTGTTAGACATACCTGCCAGTTCTATACCACTGATTGGCAGGAAGCACTGCATCTTATGTAGAATCAGCTTGACGAAGGCGTAACGCATCAGGCACCAACTGTAGGAGTTGAAGTCTGAGTGCTCTGCCTCTCCCGGGCCGGGCTTGGGGGGCTTCTTGGGAGCGAAGGGGTCCAGGTCATCCCCGTCGTCGTGGCCGTCATAGTCACCATCACTCTCTTCGTCCGAGCTGTCGCTGGCATCTGAGTCAAAGTCGATCCCCTCCTGCGAGGGTGGGACGTAGGGCTGGCAGGGAGGAAAGACAACGGCAAAATGAAGAAATGAAATGTGGCATCATAGGAACACCGTATTTAATCCTTGTTTTATGACACAAGATCCCACAAGACCATAACAACACCAGCACAAGACCAGCAGGCGGAACTCAGTTCATAAGTTGTTATTCAAATAAACTGTGACAAAAGCATTCCTTTATCACTGTTTACCATTACTGTGACTGGTCTTGTAAATGGTCTTGTGAATGGTTTTGACTACAAAACCTTCTTGTTATGTGCTGCTGCTAATTTCCATACTTATGTGAAATCTGTGTAACAGCTGCTTGGGCATAAAAAATATGAAGAATTTAAGGGGAGGTGTGGTTAAATTTGGATTTTTGGTGTTCACTCTTTATCTGGCAATTTTCCAGACACATTTTATACTGCAAACGATCATAGTGAACTACATCTGAGGCACTAAATTTGAATAGAGATTCCCTATCCTGTGAAGCAAGTGCCACAAAGATCACAATAACGCCCTGATATCAAAAGATTATTTTTCTTTTCCTTTTCAATGAACGATATTCATAAATACCTGGGAAATTTTTTTTTATTCCTATTGGTCGAAATGTGTCACTTGATTGTGTATTAACATTTGATAATGCCCACTGAGAAGTGATAATGCCCACTAAGTCACGCGTTGGCACATGGATTCGAGACAATTTAAGCAGGACTGATTGGTCAGGAGTCAAGTTCACTGAGGGGGATTCTATTGGACAACTTTCAAATGGAATATACCATAAAATGGACGGGGTGTTTGGAAAAATGAAAGTAAAGATTTAGAGCAAAATCACTGGAAATCCATCATACGTTGACTTATTTTGACTCTCTGAATGAAAAAGTATTTATGAGAAATGAATAGGAATAAATATGTGCTTGGCCAGTCTTACACAATTATTTACGACCTTGCTCAGGACAATAAACGCTGAAAATGCCCGAGCCACACAGTCGTGTCCATTCTCCTGAGTCTGTCTTAAACGCACATTTAAGACCGGCCAAGCGCATACTTACTCCCTTATTTAATCTCTCGCAGAAAAAAAACGTATTCCAACGGTAACAAATAAACATACAGTATACTGAATGCAACATTCACAGTATTTGAAGTTCTGAGACACGCCCTAACCTTGACCATAAAGTAGTCCATGATGCTCGTCTCAGGAGGCACAAAGACCTCTCTGGGTGTGGGCTTCTCCTCCTCAGCTGAGGCTGGCATACGCCCGCTGCTGGCCTTGCCCATCAGACGCAGCATGTAGCGATTACGCTGCTTGGTGAGCGTCTGATCTCCCGAGCTGGGTGCGTTGGCCGCTGATGATGAAACACAAAGGGGTAAAACACTTTTCAATAGATACTGTACTTTGCTCGGGATTCCTCAATTTCCTCTAAAAGTTTAGTCAGTAACCATTAAGTTTGATCAGTTACCATCAGCCAACAACTGGTAGATTTTCGCCTGCTACTCAGAATGTATTTGATTTGAATTTTGCACACAGGTTACCAGGCAAAAAACAAGCAAGGGCAACTACACAGTTTCTGGTTCAACTTGTCCCCCCCCTAGTCTTCAAATCGACTCCAAGCATTTAGCCGCGACTGGTTGAAAACTTGTCTGTGAAGCCAAGAAAAAGTCTAACAGCGCCTTGCACTGTGCAAATTGGTCTTTTTCTTACGTCAGCCATCTTGAATTGAAAGAGAGGCAATCCAAGATGATGCAATGGAGCAAATTTTAGATTGTCATCCGTGTGCTCCAGTTCCAGTAGGATGATGGGTACTGGTAGTTCCTAAATTGAGGCTGCATCCAAATCTCTGGTCTAGACAATAGACCTAACCGTACCTCTGGAAGCCGGTTTCGGACACGCCCTTAAACTCACGTCACATTTACAGTCCTAATGAGAAAGAGTTCAAGGTATGGCTAAACCTGTAACTGTAGCAAAATAGTCAGGCTCCTTCCCATTTCTGAGTGTTCAATAAATGACATGGAAGCAGGGAGCATAATCCAAAACCACCATTTCATGTGAGTCAAGCCCACTGCATGGACCTGTTCTGCAGGCCAACGTGCTGGGCAACGAAACATTTTGCTCAGCAATAGCTAGTACCACAGCATGTACTGCCAGTGACTGGTTCCCTGGAAAATTTCTGCTTGGAAAGAAGCCTCGTGAACAATATTTCCTGCTTTAAGCTTCATAGGATCAGGTCCTGCAGTAATTTGATGCTGTTTTCCATTACTGACAGTAATCAAATGTTGTTCTCTGATACAGTAAGTAATCAAATATTTTCTGCCGCTTTCAAAACACTGAAGGACAGGACGCCAACAGTTGCACGCACATGAATATTACTTCTGAAAGATACATGTAGGTAAAACAAATCAAACATTTTGGACAATAACGTAGATGATATGTCAGTAACACAACAAATGAGAAAAGTGAGAAAAGTTTCTGAGATCTTACGAGCAGGTTTGGGATGATCAAGCACTTTGGCCCCTCCTCCAAAAACGGAAGACCACATCTTGGTGTCTAGCGGGTGGGCGGCCAATCGGAAGAGCTCATTGGCATTGCCAGACATCATGGCATGCACCAGGATGCTCATGTAGACGGAGAAGAGGCTCTCACACAGGAAGACGTTCGGGGTGGAGGAATCCACGTCCCTCTCGTTGTTGAGCAGAGCGATGAGCGTCGCAACCCCTGCAGAATTTGCAGTAAAATGGTCTAGCAAAAGTCACTCGAGGTTTGAGGGGTGTGCTTCAACAGGACTCATTGGCAAATGGTTCTGATTTCACGAAACTTTTGCCAAAGTTGCGCAATGTTCCCACGGTCAATGTAACGCAAGGTTACATTTATTTCAAGTGATCCTAGATATTATGAAAGCTGTTCAGCAGAAAGCAATCCCTGAATCACATCCCACCATTCCAAACAAGTTTCAGTGTTTTCTCAGTCAGAATCTGGTGGCAAACCTTGAAGTCCAGTCAAAGCTACATGTACATATCAAATATTGTAATTACCTCCAAAACAAAGCTGTGAATTTCTTATATAAACCTTGATATGTTGAGGAACAAACAAGATTAGTTTGTAAAATCGTCCATGTCGTTTGTTTGACCCAACTTACGGGTATGGAATGACTGAGTAATTTGTGCCAGAACTTGTTGCACAAGTTGCTCACTCGACTGGCATTTCTTAGAATTATCTGCACAGCTTCTGCAGTAAAACATGGCATTAGTGGAGGCTACAACATTATGTAAAGTTCTGTGAAATTTCGTTTGGAGGAATTCTTTGGATGTGTTAGGGTTGATTTAAGAGCTAATTCAGTTACAAGTCTTCTCCGAAGTTAATGAATAGAATGTAGAATTAATCTGTTGCACCCAAAAGACTGGTGCTGGTAATGTCATCACCACATCAGTAGGGCTTCCATTAATTCCCTCAGGGTACTTAACCAACACACATGCATGTCTCTAGTATCAGTCTTTTTGTGCACTTACCGGGCCACTTGGCTGGCAGAGAAGTCACAGTTAGTGTCCCATCATTACTGGCATTCCTCTTTCTTCGGCTAACGCTGACGAGATTGCCCGTCCGGTACATCACATTGGTATTGCGCCCATCGTAGGCATCCATCCCTGTGGCTTTGGTGAAGGACTCGGCGCCGCTGAAGCTGTCACTGTCACACAGTGTCTGGTAAATGCAGGCTGAGAGCGCCATGCTGTTGCGGTGGACAGTCTGCACCTTGATGCTCGGGTGCCGTTTGGGGCTGGGCGGCGCAGTCAGGTCCAGGATGGCGTTGAGGATGTCATGCATGAAGTTGCGCAGGTAGAGGATGGGGTCGGTCATGACTGTCTTGCAGGTGGCCACGCTGGCCGACAGCAGCGGCAGCGTGGTAGGCAGGGGAAGAGGCGTGGCCAGCTGCCGCTGAAGGCTCTCCTGCTGGATTTCCTGGCTCAGCAGCAGCAGCTCGATGGCCACTGAGGTCAGCCCGCCGCCGTTCAGCCCATAGATGATGGCGTAGCTCATCAGCGTCCGCAGCAGGTGGTGGTGCAACTTCAACCACTTCTTACGCCGGGCGGCTCGCTGGCGCTTCTCCTCCAGGTCGATCCAGCGGGCATGGAGGGCCCGCTCGGCCTCACCATTCTCCATTTCCTGATCCCAGTCCCTCTCAGCCTCCTCCGGCATTCCTAGGACACCCATGGCCCCGTAGTTGCATAGCTCTTTCAGCATCTCCACCTCCCGCTCCAACCACATGTACAGCTGGTAGCGCAACTGTCCACCCTCCACCTCGAACCCCGTGGCCAGTGTCCTCAGCTCCTCCATCATGATCTTCAGGCAAGAGGAGAACTTCAGCTGCTGGGAAAAGACATCCACTGTTCCAATCTCACCATCTGATGGCTCCTTCTTGCTCTCAGTTCCCTTGCTGGTAGTGTCGCCGTTCTGCAAGTGATTTGGAATAGCTGGCTGCACCGGTTTCCCAGCATCGTCCTCCTCGTCACTTTCTTCAGTGCTGTCGTCACTCCATTCCAGTTTCAGTTCGTCTTCAAACTTGCTTCCTACCGGCTGGCTCCAATCTAGATCTAAGCCCAGGTCCACCTTGCCATTGGTCAATGGCTGACTCCAGTCAACAGATTCGCTGGTCTTTTTGGAGGTCTGACACTCTATCCCAGAGTCCGTGAAGCTGCCGATTGTTCCTGAGCTAATCAGGTCAGTACTGCTTTCGTGGTTGTTGGTTGACTTGCCCGCATCAGTGGTTGTCTTGGTGCTGTCTTGGGCACAAGACCCATCTGATTTTACGTGCGGAAGCTTTGACAGTACTTCCAGCGTCAGCATTGGGCAGCCCGCAGCAGAGTGTGCGTGTGCCGTCGCAAAGAACAACTTCCTCTCCACGTTTGTGATCTCATCCTTGATGATGCTGTCCCCTTCCTCCCCGCTCGTGAGGCCCGTGATCAGGACCGACGAGCCCTTGGCCGGCTTGTCCTGGTCGGCAAACTGCCGCCGTATCAGCAGCGGGTGGGTCCTAAGGTAGTTGTAGAAGTTGAAGACGTCTGGGTTGCCCCAGTGCTCTTCATCGACATCCACCTGCTGCCTGTTATTTTTGGCTCTCGCCGGTGGGATGATGAGTGTCTCCAAGGCCTGGCTGTACTCCTTGAGCATCCAGTGGGAGATGCTCCTCAGGAAGGGGTCCTTGGAGGGTTGGCTACCTTCCATCTTGTTCCCCTCCTTGTCGCGTCCCAGCACAAACTGAAAGAGAAGCTCCTTCTGGGCCGTGGGCATCTCCAAGTCCTCCTCGTACAGCCTCGCGATCACCATGGCCAGCTGGATGTCCTCCATGTTATCCAAGCAGACTGCAATGGCATCCTTCAGGGAGCCGGCTAGGAGGAAGAAGGCTGCAGCGTGCTCAAAGCGCTGGCGTCCCAGCAGGGCAAAGGCATTCTTGAGGGCCGCTTTCCGCCACCGCTCTTGGCTGAAGTTATTGCTGAAGAACTGAGTCATTTTGGCATCACTGACTGACCTGTTCAGGAGTTTTAAACAACAAAGATCAATGTTATAAAAACTGCACTTTGTCAAGGTGTCGGTTTTTAACTCCCACACCGTTCACCAGCAGCCACTCAGAAAAACTCCAAAACTTATCAAATTTGCTCAGCAAAATAATTTCCTGTTAATGAAAATCAGGTTCCTTTCAAAATGCCACGAGTTTGTAAAACTTTTGTTGCTTCTCAAATAAGTCAACAAAACGACGTCACCAAAATTATCCAGCTTGCAGAAATCATTACAGATCCAGTTAAAAATGGGAAAAAGACAAAGGCACATTTGCCTCAGCAACAAACTCTTGCTAAGCAGTTGCTTTCAAGCACTGTGTCTCAAAGCCCTACTACTTTGTGAGCGTAACAGCTCTTGAGCATTGGTTCCGCCTCACACCTGAACAAACCCCAGACCAGCGTCTTCTTCTTCATGGCAAGGTAGAACAATGCGGCATCCAGGGGGTTCTTGTTGGCCTGGAACTGCGCTTTGGCGAGCTGGTAAAAAAAAGGAGGATTGGCAGTCAAGTTGGTTTCCCAAATGTCTCGTGTTCAGGCCAGGATCAGCCAACTAGTCAATCTTGAGAAACATTGCGAATAGCTGAATCAAACTCGTAACTGAACATTTCCTTTTGACAACATACGACAAGATGAATACTTGTTATCTAAATTCAAGATGCCCATTCAATTTCTGCTCAAAATGCATAAATACTGAGTATGATCTTACTTGTCAACTTTGCCACAGAACAAAAAGATTCAAATCTTTGAGATCAAAGTTGATCCTTAAGGATCCTTTAAGAGCATAAAATTCTGAGAAAGACTTAACCAATCCCAGTAGGACTGCTTCGACACAGCTTGCGAAATATCGTCCAATTAAACAATACTGAGGCAAACAAAACACAACGTAAAATATTCTATAGGATTGCCTAAGGGGTGTGGTTACCAGTAACTCATTAAAGCGAAAAGTCAATTAGAAGAAGATTTTAATGATCTGTCTGAAAACACAAAGACTAATTTCGCACTTAGCCAACGGGCCATCTCGGAAATAAAAAGGACTGCTGTACAGAAACCCAAGCTCTGACCTTCTCCATGCACCTCCGCAGTGTGATGTCATTGCGGACCCACCAGCCCACCCCCATTGCCCGCAGCTCCGCCCACGTGGGCTTGCCCATCTGGTTGCCGGGGATGACAGAGAGGAGTTCCTCTTCGGCCTCCGAGTGGAAGGCCCAGGCAAAGTGGGAGGTGGCTAAGCCCTGATGGCGCAGCTGGACCTGAAGATTACCAATGAGTGTGGAGTGCCAGTGAATGCAGGGAGTCAGTGAAAAGCGTGGTGCCAATAAATGCAAAGTAAAGGTTAATACAGGGTACCAGTGAAAGCAGTGTACAGTAAATGCAGAGAATATAAAGTGAATTGATGCTTTTTTTAAATCTGCGGCTTCCTGAAAGCATCTATTTTTATTGCGTTTGATACTCATTGGGTGACAAGTGAAAAAAATTAACTTTAAAAGTTAAAGTTTCAAATCCGTAGAAGTTATTTTCGAATGATGATCCAGAATATACTTAATTAACACATCTTTGATTTCTCCAGCCCTACTTTTCAGTGAAAGCAATGTTTCACTTTTTCAATGACTGAAATTCAACATTTACAACTGCTGTTATTAGTAGTTATTTGGTGGGAGAGATCTGACATAGGTTTGTCTTGTAGGATCAAGTACGTGTACTCGTACGACGCAGGCCAAACCTGGTTAACATAGGCCCAATCGTGTGCAATCTGTTAGTTAATGATGCATGCACCTGTTGTCGTGGTGGTAACGAGCGCAGCAGGCAGACGTGGAATCGCATGGCAAGGAGAAATCTCAAGCCGCATTCATCTAGTGTCTCACCTGCCATTCAAAACATTTTTGTTGAGAGAAAATTCAAGTAATAAAAGCAATTTTTGAAGTCCTTTGAAGCCTAAATAATACATGTACCTAATCTTGAAAATAAAAGGACTATGAATGAACAAGGGATATACCAATAAAAAAATACATTAGATTTTATAACAGTTGTACTGATAGCTCTTGATGATATCGACAGATTAAGCTGAGTACAGAAACTTCATCCTCCTTAAAGAAAGAAATGATGGCAAGAAATGAACAGGCAGGAGGAGAAGGCAGTGGGACGGGAAGCTGCGTAATGAAGAAGCCCTTGACTTACACCGCCAAACAATTTTACCCATTTCTAAATCAATCATGGGGTGTTCAGAGGTTTTTGCTGAAGCACAGTCCAACTAAAATTACTTTGCACGGCACCCCCTTTAATATCCATAACAATCCTTGATTTCAAGAACTGGAGGTCTGACACCAAAACCTCAAGACTTTGATAACTGAAACCAGGATCAAATATCATTAATATTAGACGGATCTCGATACTTCAGCACCAATAAATCAAATTTGGACAACCTTCTTTGGCCACAGGGGTGATGAGGAGAGATCTGTACCTGCGTGGGTAGATATTGTGCCTGTAGTGTGGGCGTACCCTGCTCCATCTTTGCCTATTGCAGTCCCTGTCACAGTTTGGAGACACAAAAAACAGTGCTGGTGATCCAATTTTGATATTGATAATTCCTCTCTTAAAAAGGGCATACTTCATCATTTAACACTCTTGAAAAGTCGCATGTATTGCCACTTTTATATACAGAACATGTCTCATGAAAAAGGCACATCTACCCATAAATGAGACAAATACTGCTGGCTTTCTTATGACACAAATATTTCCATTCTAAAGTGCCCCCCCCAAAAAAAAAATTAAAACAGGAAAAAATACTAAGCACAATTCAAAAAGACTTTCACAAAAAGCATAATGAACTGAGTGATCTGGGTAGCACAAAAATTTAAAAATCCAAAGGAAATACCTGTTCCTGCTGTGTTGTGGGTTGTAACCTCAGTCTTGGTGGAAGCCACTGTGTCAGCCAGGGCTAGGAGGTTCATCTGATCCAGGCTACTCAGTCCAGGAAGGTGCATGTGGGTCAGATAGTTGGTGAGCAAACGCAGTTGGGCTATGCCGAAATACGTCACATCCTGCATCTTCATTGTGACACTGCTCATCCGATCACCGGACGTCGGCTCTGCAAAGACGTCGAAGGTCGGCGAGACGGAGGTGTCCAAGCTGTAGGAGAAGAGGGTGGAATATTCAGTGTTGGATTCCTTGGTGGCAGGTGTGGATCCCAGGTTGTTGGCCTTGGTGACGACGGGGGTTGACTGTGGGGGCAGAGACTCGGCTTTGTCAGCTGCTATGAGCGCATATAGTGGCAGCGGTGGGATAGACACAAGTTCTATGTAGTCCAGCTTGGAGTCGTCCATGGAAGGCTGGTCTACAGGGCTGTTGCTGCAAGATCTGGGCCGTGTTGAGAAGTTGTTCTCAGTCTCAGGTAAGGAGTTGATGGAGTCATTGTCGCCAGAGAGCAGCGCTTTCTGGATGGCACTGTCACCAGCGAGGCAGCGTACCAAGTGGGCCAGGATGGCTTTGACACGACGTACCTTGCCACAGTTCAAGAGCTCCATCAGCTGCTTGGGATGGTACTGTGGCAGCACCGGGCAGGCCATGTAAGAGTACTCAAAGACACCAACGTCAGATGTGAGCTCCTCTGGCTCGATTGCCTCAACTCCTGCAGGGTCTTCAACATCGATTCCAGAAAACCTTGTCAGCTCAGAGTAGGACTGCTCCCTATCCATTTTGGTCATTGGCAGGGCTAGTATGTCCACAGAGAGATTGGAGACACTGGAAATGGTCGACTCCTTGGCATTCAGTCCAGGCCTCTTCAGGGAATCTGCTTCTCGTCTGGTTGATTTCTTTTTGGTACTGCTTGCCTGCTGTTCGGTACCCTTCCACTGAGAGTAGACGTGCATCTCGTTCTGCAAGCCCACCACCAGGATGCCTGGCCGCACCCATGACAGCATCTTGGAGTGGGGTGAGATGCCATCAACACTGGTCAGCGCGATGGTCCAGAGGGGCAACCACTTGGGCCTCAGGTCCTCCTTCGCGAGCAGTGCTGCCCCGGCACCCTGGGACTTCTGGTTGACAAGCAAGCCCTGCTCCAGGAGCTTCTCTTGGAGAGATCCCAGCTGGATGTTGGCTCGATTAGGTAGCACGGGGGCATAGACTACGACCCGCATACCCATACCGACTGTCAGCATGTGAGACCCATCTTCCTTGGAGACCCACATCAACTGGACAGGCAGCTGCATTTTCTCTCCTAGGAAGGAGGGACTCATTCTCCGGTTGCGACCTGCCCTTGGGCTGAGATTGACATTTGTCAGGTCCAATGCAGCAGGGCTGACGTTTGCCAGTTCTCTGAAGTTGACAAAATCCTCCACCTTGGAGCTGCGCTTCATCATTTTGTAGTTCAGGTCCTCCACATTGCTTCCAGTCTCCTGGTTCAGGGGTGCCAGATCCAGCAGGCCCAGATCCAGCTTGTCCTCAAAGATCCACTCGGAGCCTCCGCTGGACTCGCACTCAAAGATGCAAGCTTGCAGTGGGATCACCAGGGGGTCTCTCCGGCGCACCTGCGAGTTGGGACTGATGTCAGTCCGATAGACACAGCCTATTCTTCCAGTGTAAGCGCAGCTGACTGCTATAGGGCTGCCTGCGACCTCGACGATGCTGCTTGGATTGGCGTCCTGCGCCATCAGCTTCCACTCCTGCCAGCGGTAGGAGGCTTCAGCTAGCACGTCGCCTGTGAGCACTGTGCAAGGGTCCTCCACTGAACTGGACTCCGAGCCCAATGAGTCCAGCTCCAACTTCAGGTCCTCTGCACTGCCGAGATTTTCCCTGCCGGGGCTGCACACCCTGCAGCACCAGAAGCGCAGCTTGCCGTCTGAGCAGGCTGTAGAGAGCATGTAGGTGGAGAGGAGGGACGGGTAGATAGTGGATGAGCTGAGGTGGCTGGTTGAGGGCGTGGCACTCACAATGTCCACGCCCGTGGGGAGGCTCAGCTTTTGGGTGCAGACCTTGCGGGAGTAGGTGCGCACCTTCATAGTGGCCTGTGGGGCACCACTAGGGTCAAACTGTGGTGACTCGCTGTCGGAGGAGTCCACTGAGGAATCATCAGGGATGTCTCCATCTGCTTGCTGCTCCTCAGTCTTGTTTGGAACTGCCAAAAGTGGTAAGAATAAAAGAATTATATCCGCACCTTGCTGACATTACACCTTTGATCTATGCTGTCCATTTTACCACTTGGCACTTAAGCAGTCTAAGCTTGTATCCCAAGAAATCAAAGGAAAAAATTGTGCAGCAACTTGCTTTAAATTAAAACAAATTGATAAATTGTTTTAAAAGTTGATTGGAGAATACCACGTGAGAAATCTCTATACACCAACATATTTTCAATGAGATCAAAACGAAACCTGGACAACTGATAGACTCCTAGGCTAAAAGTTTGACAGTTTTTGTGAAGACAATTTTCTTCACAATTCAGCTGTTATGCCACAAATGACATCAACGAAGTATAAAAAAATCTGTCAATTTGAAATTTTAGTGTATTTTATAAGTTTATTTTTTTGGTCACAGAGACAATGTGAAACATCAATTGAACACCGAGTTACCTTCTAGCACCTTGGCTTTCATGTACAAGTACCACATGTGAATGATGGACTCGCCTGCCGCATTGCGGTCCAGGACCACCAGATAGAACCTGTCGGTGTAGGGCCGGCTGGCATCGGTGGGCTGGCCAGTAAGGGAGGCCCCAATGGGGAAATTGTCCGTGATACTCTGGTGCGGGAAGATGTGCATGAGCTGGACGTTGTTCCACACCTGCATTTGAAACCAAGAATATAAGAAAAATTAGAAAACAAGGCACACTTTCAGTGGATTAAAAGAGTGCAACTGGAAATCTTTCAAGAATTCCTCTATCACACAGACAAATATTGTGCCACTCTTTGAGACTCAGTGCTCATTTTAAATATTGCCTTTTTTTCAAAATGTGTTTGTCTTATTCCGGTCAATATCATCATGAAATGCAATTTTTTTGGGAGGGGGGAATTACCAGATGAACCATTAATCTGACTCCCAGCTCTCCAAGACAAAGGTCATTCCTTATGCAGTACCAACACAAATTAAGAGAAAAATTTCAAAGCCCTAACAATCCAGAAAAATCTTGACAGTGAGAGCAGTTTGCAAGTACTGGGCAAAGGAAGTGTGCATTTACGTTGATGGAAAAAAATCCTAGCTTGATTTCTGTCAATCCTGTAGAGTTGATTGGATTCCCCAAGCGTAACAGCTTGAACCTCAAAACATGAGGGCAGATTTCTGACCTACTCTTGGTTTGCAACAGACAGGAAAGAACACAAGTTAATGTCGCATGACTCAGTTCATCGTGTGACAAATTTCTGTCCAAGGCGCTTAGAGATTCAAAGATTAAAATTTATTATTGTCCATGCAAAAATTTACATAGAAATTTACTTTCCATTGGCTTGTTACAAAGTAAAGTGAGATATTAAGTTATTGCATTCATCGACATTACAATTACAATCAATAACTAAAACAAGACAGCATTTAAAGTAACATAAATGGCAATCACTGAGATCTAGAGATAATAATTTCCTTAATGATATTGCATATTATTACCCTTTATTACCAAAAGCACTGGGAGACTCAATATTACGGACAGCATGTGTCTACTTATCATCAGGAGTCACGTGATGAAAACCCTTGTTATATTAGTTATCACCTGGCAAGCCTCCAGAATATGTGGGATACACATGTAACCTTTTATGGAATAAAAAAAACACAAGCCCATGTACCTGTTTTGCAGATGATAACGCATCTAGCTCCAAGATGCACCCAGGGCGTGCTGTGGACTGTAAACTGATGACGCTAGTCTTGTGTTGCCGGTGTTCGCCGTCGGTCTTAGCATCAATGAACTTCTTGATTGGTGAGCTGCTGCTGAGATAACCCTGCAGCAAACAGGTAACGTGGATGGCAAGTTGTTCTAAGCATGATGCTTCCTCTAAGAAAGTTTACAATGTCACGATTGTTTTGGTGGGCATTCACATTTTGAAGCACTCTTTTCAATGGCAGCAAGGATGGTTTACATGTATTGTATGGGTATCTGCCTTCCACTGATAATGTTTGTGTTGTTTATAGATAACCAAAAACTTATGGAAAATGTGTAAAAACCCCAGACGAGGAAATACATGGTAAAAAACAATGTGTTAACTAATATTTCAAACCCTAAGATGTTACATTTAAGGGAGAGCTACTCTGCTCAACAGAAGTGCAATTCTGTAAAAAGAAAAATAGGGTACCTCAAACTGGTCTGTTCCGGGTAGGACCTCAGTCAGGAAAGACCTTGCATCAATCACTGTTTGGAAAACACGGAGGCTGTACCCATCTGAGGCCACAAAGCAAGCACTGGGTGAGTTGGACAGTGCTCCCAGACAGGAGCTGGGCAAGAGACTTGGGAACCAGGCCACGTGGGAGAAAGCAGAGAGGAAGGGGGAGTTGATCCGGGCCAGCTCCACCAGGCCGTCGCGTTTGGTGAGGGGCCCCACGGGGAAGACACGCCACAGGATGAGCTCGCTGCACAGGCCTGTGGGAGCGCTCATGTCCGGCCAGTTCATCTCCTGGTTGAGCTGCTCCATCATCTCGTCTGGGATGACCACTTCGTCCTTCTCTGTTGGGTCCATCTCCAGCTCATCATTGTCGGCGCTGGAGTTGTACAGTGACATGAGTCGCTGGTGCTCGCTCTCGGACAAGAGGCTACGGCCAAACAGGTTGATGGAGCTCCTCCGCCTGATGCTGTTGGTAGAATCCGTTCCATCCCCCGAGATCAGGGAAGCCTTCCGCGTCGAAGATGACACTCTGTGAGTCCGACTGGTCACAATTTTGCGGTCTACCTCGACTTTGGGGATGTTGTGGTGTGAGGTGGAGAGCAAGAGGGGCAGCACGGGATGGCAAGAGATGTCATTGAGGCTGAAGCGGTGTCCGCAGCAGCGCGAGTTGTGGGCAACATTCAGGACTGTCTGGAACTTGGAGTTTTCAGAGAAGCTAATCTCCCACTGATTCAGTGTCCCGTTGGAATGCTTGGAGAGCATGGAGACCTTGGGGGTGAAGGCATAGATGTTGACCCCTGGCGGCACCATGCCAAGCCGCTGGGAGAAGCTGTAGCTGGGGGTCAGCCCTGGACGGTCCTCCCGGGGTGACACCAACCCGGGCTGTCGCCGGCCGGCCCGTGGATCCATGGTCAGGTTGCTGCGGTACAGCACCAGGTTGGAGCAGAGGGTGGTGGCATCATGAACCGGAAAGGCCTGGGGGATGCGGCAGGAGAAGCTGACCTGCGGCTGGCGGTGGACTCCCGGGATGGCCTCGTCCACCCAGTCCACCAGCCAGAGCAGGAAGGAGCCGTCGATCGGATGGATGCTGAAGAGCATGTCCGGGGACTGGTTCCACTCCCGCAGCAGGGTGTCAAACTTCTTCTGCAGCCGGGCCAGGGGTGTAGACCCAATGTGGGCCAGGCTGGCTAGCTGGGGCACTGAAGGAAACGAGCCTAGATTCTCCGGCCGGGTCAACGGCTTGTTGATGGAACCATTGGCATCCACTGTCAGAATTTCAGGAGGTGTGGCCCGTCCGGACTGGATTGACCCATTCTGGGCAGAGCCAGAATTGCCAGAATCATGCTCATCAGCTTAGGACGAAGTACAGAAAAGAAAAACAAACCAGAGATTACTAATTTGAAAAGCAAGACCTTTTTTCCCCACGCATAAAAAGCAGGGGTGGAGCTTACGGGCTTGAGACATTTTTCAGCTGAACTGAATATAAATCAATCAAAAAAGTCGGGGCAAGAAAACACTGGTTGATTCAGTCCTCTGCTTTTCAAGGGAAAGTCCATCTTCAACATTTCAGTGGGTTTCGTACTAAATAAATGTGCTGAGGGCCAGGTCATTACCTTAAGATACATGTGGGCAGGGCCATTTCAAATAAACAGGAAGAAAAGGCAGAACTTTACAACTGTGATGACTTATTTCAACACAATGTCTGAATATGACTTGAGTCACAGCCACGTGGCTTTGAGAGATTTGTATAAACCTAATACCCGGTATATAAAGCATATTTAGGACTCAAAACCTGGACCACTGTGTCGGTACATGAAACAAGGGTGAAAGAAACTCACTGCACCTATTCTTGGCCAGGGGAAGTCAACTCACCTCCGGTTACAGTTGGGCTAGTTTGATCAGATTCCGTCTCCTCCGACCCTTCGTTCACTCCGTCGACCATGCCCTCGTCTTCCGAGGACGAAGACTCTTCCTCTGATGAGGAGTCGTCCAAGTCGCTCTCTGATTTGTCATCTTTATTGATCTTTTGAGGTAAGTTTCAAACAAAATGTACCAAAGCATGCTGCTTTGGATCAAAATAGGCTTGTGCCAAGAACAGCTACCTGTGTTACTTCCATAGACCCTATTCAGGCGGAGGCCATTTTTGATCTAGTTCTCCAAATCTGTTTTACATATTGCAAACTGTCGATTAGGATGGCACCAAACTGTTTTATACTCCCATGCGTTCCAAGCCTCCCTTTCAATAAGGGTCAGAATCTGGCAGTGTACAAGTCTATGTGTTCAATCATGAATTGGAAATTATTCATCAGAGTAGACAGGTGCAAATTTGTCATTAAATTTCATTTTATTGCTTCAGTTGTACTCTCAACATTAAAAAATGAAGAGTTAACCTCGCTTTCAAATTCAATACGGCTGGCACCATGAATAAAGTCTATACCATCCGTCTTGAAAGCCAAATAACATGAGTTGAACCCAATGGGGCGTTTGGCACCTCCAAAACAAGTGACAAGTTTCTTTCCTCTGAGAACAATCAGTATCACTACAGTGAAGAACATAAAACAACAGTTTTGCTACATCTGAATCAAATTACACCGCCGATGAAAGACTGTTAAAAATTGAGATTTTATAAATCAAATTAAGTCAAATTATGATGTGTGCTATGTCCCACAAATTTGCTGAGCACACGGAACTGCACGAAACACACCTTACCAGACCACAAGAGAGCGAAAAAAATCAATTTGTCATGAAATTTCAGTAACATGTGTCAAACAAGGACTGACCTGAAGCAGCGTTTCTGCTGCCAGTGTGTACTGCAGCTCCTTGTTGTTCAGCCAGTTGACCACAAAGTTCGGAGTGTTACCCTTGGACATCTTACCCATGGCTGGAAGCAGTGGTATGTCTGCATCAGTGAGAGATTTTCAAAAAAGTTGACAGAAATTGAGAAGCAGGTGTAAAAGGTGTTACAGCTAGGACGTACCGACTTGCTGGGTATTCATGCCACAATACACAATACAGTGCCCGATGTTGCTGAGGGGTTTGTGTACACATGATGCAAAGTGTACACAACTAATTTTCATGGGAATGTGTACAACTATAATTTTTTTCTCTGGGCATCAGATGAAGAACGACGGAGCTCATGTGTCAGTTTTATCTCTCCTTTTCACCAAGTAGGGTATTGATTCCATGTATTGACAACTACACGAACTAAATCTTTTTCCTATTTTGCAATTAAGAATTTAGCAGATGGTGCCTAGTTTACTTCCTTCGAAGATTTAATTTTGGTCATGGATATGAATGTAAAATGTATAGCATTGATTTGTGAGTGTGGTATTTCCAAGCTCATATCGCCAACCCCAGCAGCTGTCAATCCTATAACAGGCAAAGGATTGAGAAATGTTTGGGTGAAATGCAATTTCCTCCCTCGCCAAGAGCTAAGGATTGCAGCCACAGTTTGTAAACTAGTTGCCATTGTGGAACACCAGCAACTGTGAGCTGGAGTTCTGCATTAATAGAGCCTGAAAGGTGACCACTGATGGCGCGCTTCCGGAACCCTTGGATGGGAAAAATAACGTGCAACGATTTGAGAATTTGTAATATTTTTCCGTTCAGTTACTTCTTAAAAAATCCAACTCAGAAAAGGGGCTTTGGAAAATATTTCCTTGTATATCAATTTATAGAAACTGAAAAATCACCTGACCTAAAAGAGAAATATCCTGGCAAAAACTGACCCATCACTTCCGAATATCTAAAATACATGAAGAACAGTGCAATGTGGCAGTCTCGTACACAGATGAATACATACGGTTTGAAATTTTATGGTAAAATAAAAACAGATCAAAGTATTTTACATAGTCTTATAATTTATAAGTAGTAAACTTAAGGCAACATTCTACTTCAAGTACGAAAGATTCTCATCTTTTATCTATTCTTTGCTAACAACAACTGTGTGATGTCAACTCAACGGAATCTTGAACCCATCGACTGCAAGTAGGTAAATCTTTGCAACATTGTACAATCTCGTTTTCATGTAAACACGGGCAGTGAAAACAAACATGCATGAACAGGTAGACCTAGGTACGATATTGCCGGAAGAGAAAGGTCGTTAAAAAAACTAGTTTTCTACCCATCTCCAGGTGACTTTTCCTAAATATTACTTGAGGAAGACAAAGGTAAAATTCCAACATGAGCGTTTTATGGGGTGGTGTCAGTTAAGAATTATTCTTCCAAAAATTATTGAACATGATAGGGCGGCTTAACGTGAAATCCCCATAGGAGGACCGCGCGAGGGTTCAGGAAGCTCGCTGCATGAGCTTTTACTTTCAGGCTCAATACACTCCCTGGTGGTACCATGTTCTGTGTTACGCAGGAGTTAACAGACATTGTTACAGCAAGCAGGAAACACACCAACGAGCTTTCTGTGTTAATATGAAAGGGAAAAACATGGAGAGTGGGGTAAACTTGTGGTGCCAAACTTGGTACCAGTTGTCCAGTTTTTTATGTCGAAAACAGATAAACCGAACCAAACCTGGCGGCTTTATTTTTTGTGATGCATGCACTGCTATAAAATAAGGCTCGCATAAACTTCAAACTGCATGTAGATGTAGATGGATATTTGAAATGAGTACCTTCTTGCTTGCGGCCAACATTTCTGAATTCATTGAAATCCACTTCCACTTTTATGCCTCATTTTGGTTGATTCGAAATGATAAAAAAGCTAAGCTAACCGGAATCAATACCATATATGGGACTCAGGCCTAGTCAGAATGGACTTCAAGAGCTACGGCTAGGTCTATTTTCTTCGCATCTCCGCACATTACCAATGGAGGGAAGACCTAGACCTAGCTCTAGACAACAGATTCAGATGCAGCCTTAGTCTCCTTGGAGAAGTGCACAGAATGTGCCATGGATTTACACAGTGCAGAATTGGAATCGGGAAGATTTCACAAAGTTGATAGGGCAAAATGTCCAGAGAGTCACAGAGGTGAACCCCCGCCCCAAAAAACAACGTCATCCCTAGGCCATTAAAGGAATACCTGGCATGTCTAGATGAAGCTTCATTGTTATTAATTATGGCAAACAAGTTTCACTTTGCAGACGACTGAAAATGAAACCGCAGTGCCGTATCAATTACAAGATAACGGTCATGTATATTTTCACTCGGGGTCTAATGATCTAAATGCATGTACCACTGCGGGTTGGCTGATAACCTCATCCCTAGGCCATTAAAGGAATACCTGGCATGTCTAGATGAAGCTTCATTGTTATTAATTATGGCAAACAAGTTTCACTTTGCAGACGACTGAAAATGAAACCGCAGTGACGTATCAATTACAAGATAACGGTCATGTATATTTTCACTCGGAGTCTAATGATCTAAATGCATGTACCACTGCGGGTTGGCTGATAACATAGGGTATCACTTACAGAAGGTACCAACATTGACGAGGGCACATTAAGTGCTGCAATGCTCTTCTACAGGGTGAACTTTTATTTTGGAAACAAATGAAAATTACTAACTTATCCCCCAGTCCATTTTTGGCAAAAATACTTTTCTGTGTTAGGAACTGTGACAGATTCATGAAAACACAGCACTCACAACACACTCAAACATAGCCACTGAAAACTTACCGGTGCAACATTTGGTGGAGTCAACACGGAGCCAAAGTTTGAACAGAACAAAGAACGACATTTTCAACGCCTTTTACGAATTTGTATCATGTTGATAGCCCTGGTAACCATCATCACAACATTTAATGGTATTTAAGGTGAGGATATCTCTCCCCTGAAATCACTAAATCTTGGAACATCCATTAGCAGCACATCACCCTGACATGATGCCTATCAACATTTGACTAAGCTTGCCCAAGTAGCCAACCAAGACCGACCAAACTCTCCAAGATACCAGATACTGTCTCACCCGTTTGGTTGCACACTGGGTGCTAACACTTGTCCCTACTTGAACGCTTTTACAATACCACAAAAGCGCTTTTATCCTCTGGGTATAATACTGGATCCCATTTCATGGAAATTCTACGCAGAAAATAGTGCCGAGTACATGTCTGTTCTGAGCACAGACCAATGAACAACAGTCACTTGCGATAAAAATTTCATCGGCTAATGACCTGTTTTTGCCAGGAAAGATTTTTGTGTTTGACAAACATCTGTTCCAATGGCTCTATCAGCCTATTCGAGGTATAGCAGATACAATAGGAGGGCACTAACTGGTTTGGGTAAAATCTTTGGTGTTTACTCCCAATCTACCAACTTCAAAAAGCACCTTCCCGTTGTGTCCGTCATGCTTCAAATGGGCTGGTGACACAGGCTCTATGCTGATCACAACATTTCCTTTGCTTGTGAACTTTCCCATGGAGTTCAAAGGACCACGGGTCCCAATGGCTCCACAGAAAAGCAACCATGTAAACAAAGAACCACCATTAGCCTCCTGCCACCCAGGTGTCCCACACAACAATTATCCTCAAGGGTGAAAGGGTTGCATCTACTGTTTAAGAGAAATTAACTGTTATTCCCCCAAAACCTGGCCGGTGATGAGGAGACATTAAGGCTGCAGAATTTCTGTGGGTCAGAAGATTATGCTCACAAATAATGGGTCAAGGGCACTGAAGTCTGATGGAAGACTAGACCACCAGCTGTGCACGTACCTGTGTTGGGGTTGATTGTGGCCGCGATGTGGAAGTGCAATGGTAGGCCGCCGTGCCCGCTAATCTCCATGGTTTCCTGATTGCTGGAACTGGTGGCATTAGCTGAACTTCCCCCCGACTTTCTCTTTCTCCGGCTGCAGAAATTGACAGAAGAACACCGAAAATACAATTCTTTGGCCATAAAAAGGTCACATGATCGTATTGGCAACTGGCCGTTCACGTACAGGTAGCACCTTGACTCGGGATTCAAAGCATATTTTTACCATGTTATGCATACATGTACATTGCAGTCAATGCCTTCACCTTGTCATTTTCAAGTTGTTTTTTTTTCTTTTCTATTACTGCCTCACATTGCAATCGTGCGTTTAATCTAGCTTCAGCCCTGTCATCCACTTCCCATTATTACTTCTTAACTGTTTGAAGACGTGATTAACACATCCTGATTACGACGGTAATGCCCAAAACAGCACCAGAATTGTGCGACACAGAGAAACTTGGGTAGACTTCAGGTTTTTCTTCAAACTGGGAACAGAAAAGACTGTTGAATAGAGACAAAATGCCTCACCTTCCTTTCATTCCTAGACTGAAGGTTGGCCGCTTGTGATGACGGGAATCCCGCCTCTTGTTGATCATATTCAGGTTACTGGTAGAGGATTCCATCAGCTCGCTGCTGGGGAGCAGGGTCTCACTCCACAGACGACAGATGTTATCCCGACAAGACGTCACTAAAATATTGGCTACTGTTCCACTTTAAAAACAAAAGGAGGCAAGAAGAGGTTAAGCTTGTAGATAATTTAGATTTATGACCTATTTTAAAATCCTACTAACTGCAAAACAATATTGGGAATTCAAAGAGTGATCATTATGTATTGTGTCTGGATTGTATGCGACAACCAAAAGGCCATCATCAATCTACAACATTCAATCTTCCTACGGCACATTAAATTACCTCACTTGAATTTGCCCTAGGCTTCTTCACAGGTTTAAGTGGACACCTGCACCATCTTTGCAGCAAAATTGGCACTGCTTGCAACATTTTTTTTCTCAAGTGTGGTATTAACCACGGTGCTGATTTTGCTTTGTGCCACCATGTGGCAATTCTCTCTGAAGTAAACGGGTAGACAAGATATCCTCCCCTGGTGCTTTGCCTAAAGGGCAAACCAATATCAACTTACCTTGTCATATATTTACTGGTACGCCTCCAAGAGAATCCGGTAACCGCCCTGGGATGGGCGATATACACAAAACTGTACGCATCTTCCTTGGATGTTTCATCATCTGTCGGGGCGCCGGTCTTGAAGCTAGGTTTACGAGTCTGGTACCATATCTTCACCAGTCTGTCCGCCTGGAAAAGAGAACGGATCCATTTCAGTACAACAAACACATGGATACCTTAAAACAACTCAAATAATGGAATAAAAGTGTGACAAGGCCGATTTAAAGTAGTAAGTTTCAAACCATACAATGGGCTGGGGAGGATAATGAAGCCAGCCAAAGGCGTGCCAAAGAGCCAAAATCTACATGGAAATCGGTGCACATCTGGAACACCAGCTGCGCCGATGTGAAGTGCATTAATTAGACTATGAAATGCAGAGTCATTGGCTGTACTGCCCATGCCTAGCAAGTATTAACAAGATTTATGTACGAAGGCAGATGTGTGTGAGTTCACAAAGTAAGAGCCAAAATACCAATTGGTGCTTTCGTCACCTGTTAAAAACTACCCATGCGACAGGCTCTAAACCAATAGGAACACATAGTGAGGTATTTATGAGTTATTTTTCAATGCAAAAAACTACTTCGGTTGTTTCTATGGTCAGGTGAAGTTACACGTATGCATTAAGTATTCTTTTTCTTTCTGATCTACACATACTTTCATTTCTGAGTGAGAAATTTTTACCTTTCCGGCAGATGCAAAAAACTGCCCATCAGGGGAGAAAAGCAAATGGAAGACTGGTGTTGCTGTCCTGAAAAAAAAAAGAACAAAATGATATGAATAAAAAAGTTTCAATAATGTATATCCCCCATGACTCACTCCCTAAAGTGTAATTTAAAAAGCTTTCAAATAAACGAAAGTTTTAAGCCAAGTTTGGTAGTGTCCTCACTCATAACATAACCAAGTACATGTACATTCAGAGTTGAATTTGAAGGTGGAGGATGCAATGTGGCCCAGAGTTTGAACCAACGACTGGTGGGGTTAATAAATATGTAAGAGCTGAAAAGTCTAACCGGGTAATGTTACTTGAACGTCCATGTAACAATAACCAGTGTCTATAAAATATCCTACCGGTATTTCAGAGAGAAAAATCTACATGCTTGCCACTCTTAATGAATAAAAATGCTCCCTCCAACTAAACAGTTGATGCTAAAGCTTCCTGATCTTGATATTCAACATGGTCCCATTTTGGAAAACTAGTACTGTGTTACAGATTACGGTATGCACAAGTGCTCATGCAAATATTTAGCAAAGTAGGCCTGTGGTGTAACACAACGTTGGTCTCAGTTTTTGACACAAACAACATTTCTGATCTGGTACTAACGTGCAAGTCCAGATATTCTCCCACTGGGAGCCTTTCTTGGGCCTTATGGGGTCCAACGCGCCATTTATCCTGGCTGCGCCATTAAGTGCGCCCCCTTCGTTGACGCCGGCCCAAAGCTGGATGGAGTCACTGCCGCTGAGAATCTTCGACCCTGCAATGACAGGAATTTCAGAGATACCTGATGAGCAACGCCATATTCTCAAGGAGTTGCTTAGAACAGGCTCCTCTGACTCTCACAATTAGACGCCATTACGGTGATGACACCATACTCGTGCACAGGTGTTCCGAGAGTGTTTAATAGCTCTGCAGCCCCCCTGAAAAGGAAATCTCAGCACAAATTGATTGATTGGGTTAGCTGCTGCTAAAAATAGAGTCAAACTCTCCCACTCACACAAGACAAGTGAAAAACCTACATGTATGCTCCAGTAAACTGGAGGTCGGGGATTCGAGTCCGACCCAAAGAAGCTTGTGAGTTGTTTCATAAACTCTGCACCAAGCACAGGTACTGGTACGTGTATATAAAGTCAGTGATTAAAAACTGTTAGCAAACTGTATACTTGTATATGTTTGCTCTGAAATTCCAAATCCATTCCTGAAGTTAATAAACACTGAAGGCTGCTAACCATAGAATGACTTGCTCAGCAAGCGGATCCATATATCTCTCATTTTGTGCGACTGGTTTGCTGCTAAATTCTTATCACCACAAAAACGTGCTAAGCAGCATTTTCTGGTTTGTAGCAGCTTTTATAGTGTGTGCCCATGCATGGCGACAAGAGGCCTTCATGAATATGGCAACATGCCTTATCTCACATTTTAAATGTACTGGCGAATCCATGGACAGTCTGTCTGACCAATCTGTATTGGGCTTTATGTCACTTTTTAGTTGACAATAGATTTGGACAATGAAATAAATACATGTAGGTTCACACACCCAGAGCTGTTCAGGTACATGTAGAAGGAATTTCTCTCCTTAGGAATGTCAAGACCCAGTTGTGCAAGTGCTGCAAATGATGAAAAATCCCTACAAAGTATGCATATTTCAATACACATGCAGTCCTAAAAAATATGGAACAAGCATGTTACAAAAACATACATGTACGTTGTATAGCGGGTGTGAAATGTACACGTAACAATAGAATGGGCCGCGGGACAGACCAAGAGGGGGTGCTATTTTCTTAGCAACGGAGGCTTCTTTGGTCAGAACTGAACTTTTGCTGGTTTGCGCATGACCAGGAAATGCACGTGTCATGGTCGCCTCACTACGAACGAATTAAACACTCCCGACCAACGCGGCTCTTTTCAACCAACAAGGGGGGGTGCTTCTGCTCCAGGAGGATAGGACTTATGTAAATGTACGGTATATGTACTGGTATAGATTATAGTATGTATTTGGCAGGAATTACCAGTGACCGCCCCCTCCCCGTACATGTGCAACACCTACATGTACACAGCCCACACAGTGACCACAAGCAAGACGTATCTTAAATACTGCCAGCAATTTTAGCTCACTGGCTTAATTGGAGCACTCTGAAAATAATCCAACAAATAAGTCTCAGTCCGAAAGGCTGTTTACAAAAAAGCAGGTTCCATTAATCAAATCTACATGTACAATGTACAGAGTTCCATATGGAAACATGCTTAGAGTGTACGACTGGTGGTTCGTGAATACTTTTAGCAAATGATGGAGATCGAAAACAATCTAGAAATAAGTTCATCCTTGTGGACAATTTCAAAAGCAAGCAAAATCGCAAATCGGCTTCTTCTTTCCATGAAGAGGAACTCTCATTTCATTTACAACTGTGACAACTTTCAGGATACAACTCTTGGGGATTTTTTAATTATCCTCAGCAATATTTCCTAACCTCTCAATTTCTATGGGTTTTATTCAACTTGCCCTGTGGAATCAGGCTAGGCCCAAGAATCAAACCAAGCTCTAAAATCAAGCCAATCCCCTCTGTGAAAACATCCAAGCAGCACATCAACAACTACATGTACCTGTTACCCAGGCAACTGTCTGGGGAACCTGATGAATATTCACGCCATCCCGCTGACATTTATTGTGGCAGTGCCTCGATCTTGAATCCTGCGCTGCGGGCCTGCGTTGCTTAGCGCATCTGTTGCTGAATAATCTGGCCAGGATCTCCCCTCCACCCTTGAGGGGGCGTAACTCGATATCAAAGCATGCAGGCATCTTCGCCCGATATACATGTACATGCCCCCCCCCCAAAAAATGCGATACTAAGATATCGACGCTCTTTCCTCATTAAACTTTGGTTGAGGTTAGAGTTACATCGGCTGAACAGAAAAAAAATTATCACTCACTGACGAATAATTCATAAACAAAAACTTACTGGATAATCCGCTGGGATTACCGGGTACTTTACTTTTTTTTTTACAGCCAATCGCATGCACAATCTTGGCAATCAAATCAGAAATTATTCAGGCATTACAGGTACATACAGGATATGAACATACAAGTACCGGGGATACATGTCACCAGCTTCTTATGTTAGAGTGGGGGGTCAGTTCCCATCGGCGAGGGGGGGAGGATGACAAGCAGGGCTGGCATTATTTAATACTTGGCGATGCTGTTCAAACCACTTACATGTATGTAGCACATGTTAACAGTTATTGTGTTCACAGAGCTAGCTACCAGTATAGGCCCCGTATTTATGAAAAAGAAATTAAATACTACATGTACATGTACATGTATTTGCTCCATTTTTAAATATTTGTTTCTGTCATTGCGAAAAAAGAATAATATTTTTCATGTTTATCAATGAATAATATGACGATGCACATTACCCTTCATTTGGAAGAATTCAAGCCACGTACATGTACCTATTGAGGGGTTAAAATATGTGCTTACATGTACATGTATTTGATGAAAAAACTTTGTGATCTACATGTGCACCGGCAAAAATCACGCTTAGCAAACAAAATACATCAAATTCACGCATTAGAAAAGAAATACACAATGGAAGAAGGAAACGAAATACTGTGAACTTTATCTAGATTTCAGCAGCTTCTTTTTCACACCATTTTGTGTACATGTACAGTGCCAACCACACGACGACATATTTTTGCAACTGACTGAGATCTAGTGTGGTAGTCTGGCTCCGTGTATTGTGGGATAAACACTCAGCTGCAAAGTGGCAGGGAACCAGTCTCCTTCATATCACACAGCATGGGCAGCACATAGTTTCTTTATCTCCATTGCGAAGTTCGTCCATGACACCTTTTATAAGTGATACAGAAATTTGCTGCAAAAAAAAGAGTTATCTTCCAGGCCAGATTTTGAGCGTCACGGCCAGATTTCAGGGTCACGGCCAGATTTCAGGGTCACGGCCAGAAACGTTAGCGTCACAGCCTCCTCCATGTACACATACGCTAAAATGCCCTGGCGAGAACACTGACATTGTACGTGTACATGTTTCATCCTCATCTGTTTCTCCCAGTGGAACCACAAATACCGGTACCCGTTCCATATTGTTCTCTCAATAACTCAGTCAAATCATTCAATACAAATTGATCATTTTGCACTTTTAGGGCCGTTTTCCAATACTCAACTTCGGGCCCGTCTCGGGCTTCAACTGGTTTTTTTTTTACTAGGCTGACTTTGAAGCTGTAAGCGCAGTAATGAGTCTAATAGTGCCACAAAACATCAAATAAGATGCAAGAGAGCCAAAAATTACAGTAATCCAATTTAATTTAAAATGCTTCAGGCCCACAAACAGGGACTGGTTTTGGGAACAAAGCCTGCGACGGAGACGAAGTTGAGTATTGGAAAACGGCCTAGTACATGTACCGGTGTGTGGGGGAGTCTCTATAATGCATGTTATTTCCACTACATGGATAAGAGCAGTCCTTAAAATACATCTTCGTATTTCAAGTAATCTTACTTTCATTTTTTTTTCATTTTCATTTATTTTGCTATTTTAGAAGATTTCAGTATCTTCTTGTTTTTCATACATACTGCTGTTTTAGGGAAAAGCTTAAAAACTGCTTTGATTTGTGCACAGGAACACAAACACAAAATGGCTGGACTTTTTGATATTTTCCAGTTTTTTTAAATTTCCTTTCCTTTAGTGATTCGTTGAGTATATGAGTGAGCCTTTCTCAAAAATGTTGTCAATACATGTAGGCACATTCTGGGTACACAGTTTGGACACCAAAACCTACATACGTGTACATAACCTGGGAAGTGTCTTCCCTGATTGACATCACAGCAACAGCGCACTCTGTTGTCCAGAAAAACAGAGACAATTTAAATACTTTAAAAAGTACACTTTCCCTCCAACCTGATACTCTCAATAACAAAAGGTTTTCAAATTGCTTTCATGCACTGCAGAAGGGTAAAATTGCACAAAACGTGCATCTAAGAAAACTTCATCGCCTGGACCCTTAAACCAAGTTTTCAAACGGAAGATTTCAAGATTACCATTGTGATTCCAAGAGAGATTACTGACGAGTGAGTCTGTCTGAAAGCCACCAGTCTTGTACCACTGGTAGTCGAGCTTCTGTGAACCAGGGAAAAAGAAACACATGCAATATGTTAACTTCTGTGTAATTTTATAGTAGTCAGTCTAATGGATGTTATCATCCAAGGAAGTCAAATTTCTGTACAAATTAAGACCTTTAATTATGGGTTTTTCCCTTGCACTGACATACATGTACATGTATATTCATGACATTGAATACTCAATGCTTGTCCAAGAGCTTGTGAAAAAATTCACAAGTTTACTCGGGTGGGACTCAAACCCACAATCTCCTGCTTACTAGTGCTGATGTCTTAACCATGTTAACCACTCAACCACCAAGCTTGTCGGGGTCAGCTGGCCAATCTGAATTAGATGTGGCAGCGGGTACCGCAAACTATTTCAAGATGTACTTTGCGTCAGGGAGATGTTAATTTTTTAATTACAAGGTTAAGGGAAAAACCTGTCATAAAAAAATCTGCATCTTCCCAAAGCAAAGTACATGTAACTTGAAATTAAGACCTGTCCAGTCATGCCAGTCACATTTAACCCACTGAACAATTCACAATTCATAAACAGATTCAGGGAGCATGGTCTATATAATGGCTTCTTCCTGAAGATGTGTGATACAGAAAGCCAGCATACCGGTAGATTAATCTGAGGAGACATTATAACTGCTTGATGCGTGCACGCTTTTGGCAAATTATAACACCCCATGGGTTGAAGAGGCATGCACGTGTACATGTACATGTACCGGTAACATGCGGAACACCCATCCATAGGCGCTGTGCCACCACAGTAATGGCTTCTAACTGTGGTTGCTGAATAACACAATACACTTTCAGATTAGTTCACTAATCATTTCCACTGAGTTCATCCAATATTAATGAGAGAATACTCATACTACATTTATGTGGACAAATCCGGTGACCAGACTAAAAAGCAATCCCTACATGTACACATACCGGTATGTGTTTGTTGCAGTTAAACAGACATGACAGGTGCAGACAAATTAAACGTCTCTTCAACTAGTAGGGTGTTGTGACACAGTATAAATTGTCAAAAGATGCTAAAAGTCTCAAGTTTAAGAAGGCATGGAGCACGGCGCACTTGAGTCTGGTGCAGAAGCAGTAAAGCGTCTTTTCAGATCAGTCCAAAGATTACCAGCAACCACTTGAGCAAGCTCTCCAAAGGGTTTTCCTGCCATACCGTACATGTACATGAAAATGGGAAAAACTCAAAAGAAGGAAAGTTTTATCTCAGGAAAAAAGTTCCACAGTAATATTCAAATCCTACCGCAGTCTTAGGTGAAAAACACAGAGGGTGAATATGTACGTACCGGTATTGTACCCGTACATGTACACAAGTATTATTACAAACTAGCAAAAAAAATTGTTCTATTTCCATCTGAACTGAAATAGAAACTACTGGTACAAGTACAGTACACTGTACCTCAATTATAAATCCATCAGACATGTCAGAGATGGATAATATACATGTACATGTATCGGTACGATACACTGAACATGCATGGAAGCCATTCACCTGCTAGCAAACTCCTTGAATGCAATTGCAACGGATCATCTCTGATTCCCTACTGAGTACGTGTACATTACACGTACATGTACATGTATGCTGAGTTGAATAACCTAGCTACGGCCAGGCACTATGCAGCCAGGCTGTCTTGGGATGATGATTGTCCACCACCAACAACTTAGGGCTGTGCTGAATATCCGAATACTCAATCAATTATCCAATATTCGAATATTATTTTCCAAATTTGAATATTCGAATGCAAAATTCAAAAAAAAAGGGAAGAATTTTCTTTTGTTTTACCCGGTAAATGAGAAAAATTGCACTATAGAGACTTGGTTTCAAACAGATTCAAATGAAAAGTGACAGAAATCTTTACAACAATTCAAAAAGTAAATTATTCATTACAAAATTTAAAAGGAATAGAAATTTTCAACAGGGCAAGAAGCATTTTTCGTCTCTTAAATCTTGCTAAATCATGGCTGGAGTTACACGTACTCCTAGACATGAGAAGCTCTTATGGTGGTTATAATGTACATGTACATGTATTAGTACCGGTACATGTATTATTGCGTGCGTTATTGCAACTGATGTTAAATGATTTGTTTATCAACAGTCTGCCAGTCAGTACGACCGAATATTCAGATATTCAATCAAACTGAACGTCTAATAGTCATTTGATGTTGACACCTTCAAGAGGGCCGTACATGTACACAGCGCTCGATTTTCACCGCGGCCACCGCGGCCGTCTGTGTCCTGAAATTTCCACTATGTCCATGGCCAAAGTTGGCCATGTGCCCCATTCTTCCTGACAGTGGTGCCTCTAAAAAATATAACCTATAGTTTCTGTAAAATTCCGACTTCATGTTCACGTGAACGTATTTCACGTTGCGGCCTACCGGGGAAAAATTCTCTTCATGCCACATGGATGCACGGCCAGGGCAACCAAGCTGGCAGACCTGGCGCGCTGCAGCATGCATGCCGTATCGCGCAATGAAGCTTGCCCCTGCCACAAGCGACTTGGATTTACAATACATAAATGTATGTGTATTTCGTTCTGCAGTCCAATGTTTAGTGGATGATTAATCGCTGCAGGCACGTATTATGTACATATATGTACATGTACTGGTGCGTGGGGCCAGCCAGCCTAGCCCGGCATAACATGCAGCTACATGTACTGTACCAAGCTGGCACATACATGTACGTACCGGTACACGGGCTTAGGCTGTGTCCGAAACGCGCCTCCCCAGCTACGGCTAGGTCTTTTGTCCCCCTAGTTTCAGATCATGCGTGCACACACGCAGAAGTCTCAACTACAAGTGCATAACTGATTATTGCGTGACCCAATGGGTTTGTCAACTTTACAACGCAGGGGGTTTTGGTTGTTAAGCTCGCACTGTGCCGTCGAAAAAGGTATGCCAAAATCAAAACATGTTCTCTTTGTTCAATCTACGGTTAAATTCACTTGAATTCTTTGTTAGGAATTAATTTTCTCTTAATTAAGAAGTCTTTTGTCAGGAAATGTGCCTGTTCCTTCCTGTAATATGATGTTTTGTCACAGGTTATAAAATAATTTAAACAGGACACACGTAGCTCAAGCACAGAAAACACAATTTTTCATTTTTCCAGTTTCATTTTGCAGAATATTTTACACCTTGGCCTCGGCGCCTTCCCTCTGTAGACATTTTGGCCTTGTTGCCCCTGTTATTGGAGGCGGTGCCCTTAACATGTCCCATTTCTTGAGGCCAAAATGACAGGGCCCCAAAAAAGTCGAAATTCGAGCCCTATATGTATGTATGTACTGGTATATATGTCAATATCTGGGTCTACATGTGTGCGTGCCAAGGTTTATATTACACAGGTACCAGTAGTTTAAGTACATTTCCCCCCAAAATGAACAAAACCATAGCTCAAATTGAAGGCTTTATTGACTTTGCTTCTCCTACAATGCAATGAGTACTGCAGAATACCTGCAGCATGAAACATGTAAATCATTGTCAAGGATTGAATTCTTTCCTGGGTATCCAGCCTGCCAAAATATGAATTACCGTACATATACCTGTGCATGTGCCAACTAATCCTTGAGGCTCAAATACATGCACCTGTACAGTATACCATCAAAAACTTTTCTACTGATATTGTGCCTGTGGGCAAGTGGGCAAGGGATTATGCTGTCAACAGTTTTTTTTTTGGTTGGGCTACAGAATATTTTTTCAGTCTCAAAGATTGGTTTCCATTGCATCACACTGTATAGTATTCAAGTGCATTTGTTAGACTTAAATAATGCCCTATGGAATGCCAGTCAAGTGTAGCAGTTGTAATCACCACAAGTCTAGTCACGTACTGGGTACACATGTGGCAAGGAATGCCTTTCACGACAATGTTTATGCCTTCTGTGACAACAGAATGCTTTCTGTCGGAATTAATTTTATAATAACGCACCGTCACTTGACTTACAACTGATGTCAACTCGTGACTAGATTGTGGTCTCGTAATATCAGCAATGACAGTGACATTGGCAGGCTAAAAGAATTTGACCACACATGTGTACATGTTCTGTAGGAGGACACCCTCTATCCAAACTCTACAACTATAGTGATGGGCCAGAGGAGTTCTAAAATCTCAAATGTGACCGAAGAATAACCATCAAATCTTTTAGTGAGCTGCATGGGTAGGTAACATCAAGGCTGGAACAGACAAGCATGATGTACATGTATATGTAGCAACTCCAAGGAACATCTCCTTTACCCTGTAATTCCAATATTTTCTTGACAGTTCCTTAAAAGCAAGGTTCCGTGAATACAATCTCCTGACTACACTTGCTTATCAGTACATATTTCATGACGGATAAGTCCCAATATGGAAAAATCTCATCAAAACAAGACAGCCCGAAAAAAAAAAGTTTCCAGGTATGCACACGTACTCGCAAGTGCCTCAACTGCAGTCAGTGACCTACATGTACATGTATAGACTAATCCGATTAGACGCCATAACTGCGGTAGCACTGCACTCGCACGCACATTCTTTGGCTTGACGTGCGCGTGCATTTGGCAAATCACGAGACCCTGTTGGTCGAAAAGGCATGTAATGCGCGCGTACCACCTGTCCACGAGCGTTGCACTACCGCAGTAATGGCTTCTACGTGTACTTCTGGGGGTCACATTACACTATACTGTACCGTACATTGAAAGCATTGCCATAAAGTCCTTAATGATATCCAGTCACAATGGATCTGCTCTACACCTGCCAACCTTGCCTACTCCCTCCTGAGGTCAGGCATTACCACACAATAGATTAAAAGGTACATGTACATGTATTGAAACGAGCCTTCAGTGCATTACAAATTTTAATCTATTGGGTGGTAATGCCTGACCGTAGGAAGGAGTACAGCATGTCGGCAGGTCTGTACAATGGACATGTACATGTAGCTGATGCAGACAGTTGTCAAAGTTGTATCATGATCAACTTTGCTGACTGTTTGCGTCGAGTCGTAAGTGCAGGTCCATATAAACCTAAATATTGACATGACGGACACATACTGTACACGTCCCTCTGGCTTAGGTACATGTACTGTACATGTCCCTCTGGCTTAGGTACATGTACATGTACATGTCCCTCTGGCTTAGGTACATGTACTGTACATGTCCCTCTGGCTTAGGTACATGTACTGTACATGTCCCTCTGGCTTAGGTACATGTACTGTACATGTACTGTACATGTCCCTCTTGCTTAGGTACATGTACTGTACATGTCCCTCTGGCTTAGGTACATGTACTGTACATGTACTGTACATGTCCCTCTTGCTTAGGTACATGTACTGTACATGTCCCTCTTGCTTAGGTACATGTACTGTACATGTCCCTCTGGCTTAGGTACATGTACTGTACATGAACCACCATTTGCCCATTCTCCGTTTATGAATAAAAAAAAATTCATATTTTTCAATATAACTGAAATACTGAATACACGTGTAAATGAACTACATGTACATACATGTACAATGTACATGTACTGTACAATGCACTGTACCAGTTTAGCTTCAAGTGCTGCCATAACGTCTTCAAAGCACATCATGTGAACAATTTTACAGGGTTTTTTTTCCATTTGTTTTTGGACAAGTGACACCACGTGTTGTCTTCTCTGCAACAGTCTGTCTGAACATATTGTACCCTGTCAGTGACCTTTCATTAAAGACCAACTGGACACTCAGCTTAAGTTACATGTACACCTGTTACCTGACATCCACAAGAAAATCCTATGACACTCGTCACCTGTTCTAGTATTGGTATACCATCATTGCTTCATGGTTATTGCTGATTTGGTTTGGGAGGGAACACTAGCATTGTGACTGCACTTACATGTGAGCCCTTCTTGAGTGCTGGTACTTGAGGAGTTGGTTCAAATATGTACACTTGATTTGCAAAGGATGCTGCAATCTGCAAGAAAAATCAAGGAAAAAAGTCATCAGTACAGGACATGAACGTGTACACATATACATCTGTAGGTACCTGTCTTGAATGAAATCAATGTATTATAAGCAAAAGCTTGGTCAACTCAAATTCCAAAGTGAAATATTTTGAGCACCTACATGTAGTCTAGGTTATACCAAAGCTATGCCGGGTGCAAATTTCCATTCAAGAAAACACATCAGGTAAACTTCAAGACAATGAACTCACACGTGTACCGGTACATCACTGTACATGTGCATGAACATGTCTGTGACTTAAATACACATGTTACATATACCGGTACCAGTACATGTACCACACAGTTGTTAACTTGCATTTGAAAAAACGTACATGTACCTGTACATGTACATGTACATGTAGTGTACGTACATGTATGTATACCGGTATGTACATGTACCGGTAAGCAATAAAAGTTAACAAGTGCATCATAATTATTACAACATGTATTATAACATGATACTGTATATCCCGGAAGGAAAAAGTTGAATATTGAACAAAAACCTGCCAGACTTGTCTGAAAATTCATAGTACATGTACATGTATGCACAGTACCGGTATGTATCTTACATGTGTTTGCTCAGGAAATGTTTCCGAATTTTCTGAGCTATTTTCTGACTTATTATCACTTTCTGATGGCTGTTGTAACATTTTAAGGGAATTAAGAAAATTAGTGCTGTCCATACTGGTATATATATAAGTGGAACTCTTTCCCAGATGTACACGTACTGTACCAGGACATGTACTTGGTGTACAAAACAACTGTTTGATGTGCATGAATTATGGACTGTACAAGTACATGTACATGGGCATGTACATGTACATGTACAATACAGATACAACATGCAGGGTACCGGTATGAGTACATGTACATGTATACTACTGGTACACTACCATAAATCTACATGTACATGTACAGTATGGAAACATGCAAGATACATGCAGACTACAGTAGTTTAGTTCCTTCTTATAATTGACTGATCCCGTTTCTAATTGCTCCGACATGCTTATTTGACTAACAACTGCACGATAACGACCCCAAACGGCATCAAATTTCTACCATACTGGTATCATACCAGTACGAGTACATGTAGGCAAGTTTGTGAGTTGACAATATGAAAATGTACTGGTGAATATATGTATATGTACATGTACCGGTACATGGACTGTACCAGGTAAACCACAGTGCAGGGCTCGAAACAGTACTAGTCCAGCATACGAATTCCAACGAAAATTGCTTCGGGCTACCCAGACTAACTTCCTTGGTTGCCCAGTGGGCTGGTGAACACAAGTGTGTGTACATGTATGTGCAACGTTCAAAGCAAGCATAGTAGAGTTCCCACTGAATCAAAAGTAAAGACCCAACAGAAACATTCACTTATTTTCTACAAGACACAGAATTCCTTTTTAAGAAGGCGTACAACAAAAGGACTCCTTTCTTCTGCGGAAACAAATATACAGGGAGCGTATCCCTGTTTCTTGCTTGAAAAAAAAAAAACTTGGCTCTTGAAAATGAAGGAAATCCATTTCACAGCTTAGGCATGAGGTACCGGTACCAGTATACACCTTACATGTAATTTAATTACACACAAATGCCATGAGACTTAGCCATAAACCCAATCAATACAAAACCAACATGTGCATGGCTGGGTGATCAGTCTATCAATGGCTATAAGTCCAGGAAAAAAAGAATCCCATCCACAGTACCAGCACAGGTTATCGCTGCATGCGCCGAGTACAGGGCAATGACAACATGTCATTTCTGTAAATGTCAGACCCTGCGAGGGCCAGGCTGAGAAGAGGTAATCACCAAATTATAATTTGGTGGATGAAAAAAAGTTGTATTCAATATTAATACCAAACTGGGATCGAGTTCCCTTGTTGAATGGGGTTGAGTGGGTGGGTTGTTCGTAACGTCATGTGCACTGGGGCAGTGCGCTCTTTCAAATAGTGACACGGCATGTATAGATTGGCTGTAATGAAGCATTTACTGTATATATATATTTAGTGAATACATGTAGTTCATGTCCTCATCTTTGCGATATCTAATATACATCTTGAGCAGGGATTTCTTCCCCCAAAGAAAGGATGCTACAAAAGTCAGAAATACTGAACTGAGAGTGCCAATAGAAATTTCTCACTGCGAGCTCTATATTTCTTGTTATGTTGCGGAGGAGCTGAGCTCATCCAAAACTGTTATTTAATTGGATTTATTGATAAGGTTTGTGATCTGAAAAAATAAAAACGTTTCATGGGGTGGACTGTTTATAGCTCTGGAGTTGAAAAAACAACCTGCTTGGACATGTTGGAAAGATCATCAATGTTCATTTACTGACAACATAGTCAATGTACATGTACCGGTACTGTTGCAGTGTTCTCCACGGGCTGTTTTAGCAGGACGGACCGCCCTGCCAAAAGTTTGGGCCGCCCTGCTATTTTTTCGAGTAGTGTATTTTTCCCTGAATGTCTACTTTCTCAAGATTTTAATACAAAGAAGTTTGCCGCAGTTTGCGGATCAAGTTTGAATTTACCGACGACGCTTTTGATGTACTGACAATGGGTGATCGTTGACTGCCTACCGTAATGCATAGTCAACCTCGTGTCCCGAAAAACCATCATGTATGTTTTGTACATGTACACGTACATTGTATTGCGCAAGCGTGTACATGTACATGTACACGCAGTGCATGTGACTGGTGCCCGCGGCGCAACATTGTTTTGTGGAGTGTGCGCGGGCGCCAGTGGAAGGACCGTGCCATGCCTGAGCGGCCCCTACGCTCTGCTCCGATGGAGGGGTTGCTTCATTTTTATGATGTGAACAAACTTAGCTTTGCCTGAACATATTTCTTTTGAGGCTTGTTTTTACTGTGCCTTTTCACAGTCAACTGATCATTGAGAAAACCGCATGCTCTGCTCATCTCAAGCATGTCTCGAGTCACTAACATGAGGTTCTGCTAAAAATGCTCCGGAAATTAAAATAATTTCGTCATCAAATCTTTCGATAAAGAAACTCCTCCTGAAGAATATCCTAGCCAGTATTTCATGTTGTAAATGCAATCTGATTTGGGGCCAAATTACAGACAAAAGTGGACTGGAAATTGCCCCAGAATGCACCACAGAGCATCTAGAATCCAAAATTTTCCGCGCCCTTAAGCGGGCCCCAGGCCCCACGCCGTAAGGGCTTCGCGCCCGCAATTTTGTCTACCGCCCTGCCGAAATTTTCGGCCGTGGAGAACACTGTATGGATATCCAAATTCCTTCCATCATGAACGGTACGTAAATGAAAAACCATGCACACAACCCACAATGTGCTTGAACATCCATGAGCGCTTACATTCCACATCCAAAGGCATCTGTGAAGATACATGATTGGTGTGAATAAATGGGCTTTTTTCCCTCCCTGTGAGGACCCACCTTTCCGTTCTCTGTGGAGCAGTCGATGCAACCCACTTGGATATTGCCCTGGTTCTCCCCAGGAATGATCTGCACTCGTTGGAAGTTGCTGGACAAGATGACAATGTCGCAGCCGGAGGCGTAGGCCTGTGTACCCAAATCAAAAGGAATGGCAGCTTAATCAAGGTTTATTTTAAAAGCAATAAATTACACGTACACATACATGCAGGATACTTCGAATTCTGGACAGCGTTCTTACAGCTGAACAAGAACCCAATTTGCAATTGATGGAAACAGCGAGTTGGACCTTGTACAGGTACATGTACGTACAATGTACATATACATGTATTGTACTTCTACAATACCCTGCATGTAAATGTATTACATGTCAATGCTTTCCATCGCGATTTGTGATCTACATACACGTTTGTCTAGCACGGGTACTCGCACCTGCGCGAAATGCATGGTAACCGAGAGCCCCTTACGCATGCGCAGAGGAGCCGTGGGCGTGATGAAGTCACAGATGAGGCCGGTTAAGATACGGCTAGGTCTATTATGTACGCATCTCCACGTACTGTATTTGTAATGGAGCGAAGACCTACACCTAGCTCTAGACAACATGCATAACTGACAGAATCTGGGCTGAGCTTGGAGGCCATTTCACGCATAAACAAATGCATACTAACGCACGAACATAGGTCGTTAATTAACGAATTGCAATGGAAAGCGTAAAGTTTCGCAGAATTTCCTCCAAAATACTTTTTGGCGGGCGTATTTAGTAATTTCAACACAGCATTTATGGAATTCAGGATACAAGACACTTGTGAACGACATTTTGAGCTGTCTTCGTCAGGTAAAAATGTGAGAAAAAAAGTGTTGAAAAAAATTTTGCATAGTTTAAGGACCATGGATGTTACATGTAGTCGCAATGTAATGTAGACGTCGTCCAACCTGGGCTATTGTACATCTAACTTTATGCTTAACAAGAGATGGGTACTGATTCTGAATAGCACGTGCATGCCAGTGGTTTAAAGGTACATGTACACTGTACATGTACCGGGTACGTGTACATGTATACATGTACATGTATCTGTGTATTAGTACCAGGCAAAGAAACACATCTCTATCCATGAAAAGTGATATCTGTTGAGCATTCCATGTGCATGTATATGTAATACGATTTTCTTTTCTTTTTATTATTTTCATAAAAAGTACAAAAATGGCCAATACAAAACACCATTACCATAGGACGGTTTCAAAACACATGAACTGTAATAAGGAAAAAAAACAACTAAATTATACAATAAAGATTTTAACTAATAAGTTATATATCAACTAAATGAATACATGTACATTTATACACAAATGTACTATATGTGCAAGTGTAGTAGCACCGGCATGTGTACGTGATAAGAATTGATAATAATTATTGATGAAATAGATGTACACCAGAAGATACGAATGTCCAAACTTTATCTACATACATTTATTTATTTGAGAGTGGACATATCGTAAGGTCCAACTCAGCCTAAGACATATCTATCAAATATACGTACATGTAACATGTACATGTACATGTACATGTACCAGTACTGTATTTCTAAATGCATGCACTTTTAACCACAATTTCCAAGCTGTCATCAGGTTGACTGAACAATTTCCCCAACAAAGCAATAATTGGTCGTTGGAAAAGCCACCTCTATTTGCTACTAATTTCCGGTGAAGCCATTCTAGGGGTTATTACAAGGCCGATACCCAGGGGAGACGGGGCGTGATTTACTAGTCACCAGTGCCAGGCAATGTCCACTAGTGACTGTGAGAAGTTCCCGGCAGTCTTTATGACAGCATTAATCATTGGCTCTGCATCACAGCGTGGAGAAAGGAGACTGTATCAAATTGACATCTCCGAACGGCCATGAAGGTTTAATGGAGGAATGATGTACCGTACACGTACAAGCCCGTACATGTGTGCAATGTTGTCTGTGCATGTACATCCAGGCACTTGTACCTAATTTAATGTACAACATGTGCAAGTATTAGTACATGTGATTTCCTGAACATGTTATGAGTGTGCTGTAAGTGAAGCATGTGGACATGTATCGGAACACATATCGGTACATGTACACGTGTGCACTGTACATACATGTACACATACACATGTACATACATGTATACCGGTGTGTACCGGTACATGCAATAAAAATGCACATAAAATATGTACCCATACAGTACATGTACATGAGCATGTAAGCTACATGTACACATGTACCGGTACATGTGTCTCTCACAACTTGCTAATGTGCTTGGACGAAACATGTACATGTACCAAGTACATGTATATATTGGGCTGATTGGGTGGGGGAAGAGGTTCAGTGAATCTGGGTTTGGTTAAACATGTTCATGCATTGGGTTGGGATCAGCTTGGGTTAGGTTTAGGATGGCTTAGGTTTAGGCTATTAATTTGCAACTAATCAATAAATTTTAATCCGACCCTTCAAAATCCAAAAGGTGGAGGAATTTGGTGGATTCTGAAATACACATGTACACATCCACAAAGCCCAGCACAATGTAAAATGTGTACATGTACATGAGCATGGAGCACCTGTACATACATGAACATGGACCGGCACATGATGAGCGCACAGAATCCAGCCCTGGGTTCTTGTGAATAAATCATCGCTTCAGGCGGATTGCACTGAAGAAACTAAATGGATTACATGTACCGCATGTACATGTATGAGTTATCACAGGAGGGTAGCCGAAGGCCGAGTGGTATACGGGACACAGATGCACTGCATTTAGATTCCATGTTCCGTGAGCGCAAGCATGATAAATTTATCTGCAAGCAAACGTGATGTACAGTACAGATGGAATATGCACACTGTACACCGAAAAAAGAAAATAACAAATTAAATTTACCAATGTGCGCATGTCAAAAACCCCAGAAATACCAGTGAGGTTGTCATATACATGTAGGTATCTGTCATAATTCTGTGCATGTGACCATCACCATGGGATGTACATATACATTGTAAACCTGCTGTCTTTAAAGTTACAGTGGATTCTGCAGCTGTGAATTTGGTCCTTTCAAAAACTTTAAATGACGTAATAAGCAGAGTACATGTAAGAACAGAAATGCACGTACCGGTAAACAGGGAGTAATGCAGACACTGTGATTAAGTAATATGTCACACTGTTTGTTGCCATGGATCAACCAATTAGAATTGAGGATTCAAGTTTGCTTGGGTATGAAGACTCTAGTACCAGCACCCAGAACCTGAACACTGCTAATTTTTGCCTATTAATTTGTGCATGCACACCATCAACCTTACATTTTCTGTTCATATTGTGGACAACAGCAATTTGAGACAATAAGGGGATGTTTATATCCAAATGACCTGGTCAGTGGTCACTGGAGTTTTGAGGAATAGTATTGAACATTTTGCACTGTGCATTCATTTTTCATTCTTGATACATCTTCAGTTGGAGTCTGAAGTGTGCAAAAGGACTATCACCAGTGCAAATTTGTACATTGACGGATCTCACAAGGGGAGTTGGGTTGGCAGTTCTTTCCTCGCATTTCACCTCTACGGCCAGGGTTCAATTCTAGCTTGGTCCACATATGGATTGGGTTTTCAATTCCTCCATGTACCGGTGCATGCACATGCACATGCACATGCACATGTAGATGTACATCCAGGTGGATGTGGGCTGTTTGGTGGCTGCCTGAGGCGCCCTGGTACTGTATGCCATTCGCTTGACCACATTTAATATCTTCATTGTACAGCGCATTTGAACACACATGTACATATATCTGCATGAAATTTGCACTTTATCAACGCATAAATTGTTATCGTTCTTTTCATTTCATGTCAGAAATCTTTTAACATCCTACATTTTATGTACACGTAAATCTCTTTACATTTTGATTTTGATGCTGCTTCAAACTCTTCAGGTACGGTACATGTTCAAGATACTGAATTGTGTTTGATGTTAATGTTCCTTCACAGCGCTGCGCTGTTAGTGGCTCGTGATAACAGACATTCAACCACCGTACAGGGTACATGTACAACGTACGGTACCGTATCTTCCAATCTACACTGTATGTGTACTGTACCTGTGATGGAAAGCTCTATAGACCATGGGGGATGAATAGCACCTAATAGTGTTAGTTAATCAATCAGTGAATAAATTATGTACATCAGTTACGCTGGAACCATTAATCAAGGGAGTTCAGCGGTTAGTCAGACCCAGCTTGATATTTTAGTGATTCATTCAGAGTCACTGATACATGTACATGTATGTAAAGACTGTGTACACTACATGCACTGTACGAGTACATGTACACATACATGTACATGTACATGTACCTTTGCAAGGGTTCATTCACATTCCGAAGCCTAAAGGTACGGATATTTGCCATTCAGAGTCATTTTTACTATGCTCATAAGATGGAACAGATGGCCAAGGGGTGGGGATTCAGAAGCCACTTACATACATAAAGTACATGTACGTACGTGTACATGTCCATTATGGCTGCTCACATACATGAACATTGTACATGTATGTACTGTATATGTAGGGCCTAAAGCCGTGATCGCACTAGACTTTTTTTCATCTGTTTTACCAAGCCGATGGTCAAATAAAAAAAATGGTCAAAAGTGACCACTGTGCGCACTTGGACTTTCGACACGGGACAATTTTCACCGAGATCATGGGTAAAGCAACCAAGCTAGTAATGCAATGACTTATGAGGGCGCTTTGCGCGACCTTTCAGCATTTGTTTTCATCCTTAGACACCTTACTGTCCTCATTACCATCTGGAAACGGTGCACTCTTAACACCAGTTAATCTTACCACAGTGTCAATAACAATTTCTGCCATGATTGCGACCAAAAGAGGAAAAGATTTACGGGAAATATTTGCCACATGCCTTACCGCGGCGAAAAATGCAACGTGCACGCGTAGTTTCCCTGTATGAAGCATGCTGCTGTGCTCGGGCCGGATGTACATGTACACTCTACCGGCCACTTTCCCGTGCGTTTACCGACTCGCACTGTCCACGCTGGACTGTCTGTCTCGGGAAAAGTGTCTCGGTAATTTTTCCTGGGCAGAAGTTGGCTGGTAGAAATGACCGTGTGGCTCAGTAAAACGTAACCAAGAGGAAAACTTCCTGGGATGTCTGCACTGGACTTAAAATGGGGAAAGTAACATTGTCTCGGTAAGTAAAAAAGTCCAGTGTGAACGCAGCTGAAGTGGCTGTCCCAACATCTTGGATGGAACACCATGGGTAAGAGGGTGGGGCTGTACTATAAACATACACCGGTACATGTACAACGTAAGTGTACACATAAATGTAGTTACTTCAGTCAGCACTGGTCCGGTGTTCTACACCACAGTGTTCTACCGTCTGCCACTAAGTTTGATGAAACAACCCACCGACAAGCACAAAAATCCATAAAAAATCCCAGAAAAAAACCTTAGTCACTATGAAAATTTCATATTTTTACCTGGAAGAATTTTAAAAATTTGAACTCTTAATCAATGCGGAAACAAAAACTCTGAAAAGCGATCAGGAGTCCCTAAGTGGGCCCCTGGACCCCCAGCGGTGACCTGCAAAACTCACTAAAATACCGGTATATGGCCTGGCTACAACACTGGCGTGTACATTGTACATGTAATGGACATGTACCGGTACATGCATGAACATTTTTCTTTTTAACTACAAATTACAAATATCCAGAAGTAAGATCCAATTTTTAGCTTAAGGTGAAAAGTTACATCTACGTGTATCAAGTTCCTGTAAGCCCACAGACATGTATGGTACATGTACATGTATACATGGTTAGGGCTACCATAAGCACAGTGTATCACACACACACGTTCTAGATACACTGTAGGTGATACTGGTAGGTTTTTAAAGACTTTGTACACCGAGTAGAGTGCGTGCTATCTAGCTTGATAAAGTTAAAAGCATTCCAGTGCACTATCTCAGACATTTTGGTCTGACCTTCGATCATGCCACAATTTCTGACTTAACACAGCATGCCTTACAGGTATCAGGTTTTGGGGCACGAAAATATTTAGAGGATAAGTTCAGAGGACAACTTTTGTCCCCCCCCCCGCAATGCTGTTCCAACTTTCTTCAAGGAAATTGTTGTCCTAATACAACGTAAACCTACTGTGTCTACCAACATTATAACCATGTGTACATGTAAACTTTATGAAAATCACCCAATGAGTTGATCACTCGGACTTTTATACAACACATGAACATGTAGGTGAGCATGCAAGCTGTGTACAAGTCCACAGCATGCTCCGCAGTCCTACTCAACTTCTGACAAGTCATCGGCACTTCATTTTGATGAAAACCCCTATGTACACTATGCATGTACAATGTACATGTACGTGTACGTGTACAGTATAAAACACAGAGTTAACAGCAAAATGTTAACAGAATTAATGACAGTCGCATTCAAGGAAAAATACTTTCACAACATGGAAGTGTCAATATTACACATGCAACGACCCACTTTGTTAAAGAGGTTCAAATTTGACACCAGTCTAAAATATACTGGACAATATGCACACTGATGCAGGATAATTGTTATTCTGCCATTATCAGCTTTTTTACTGTGCAAACATGTAGCAAGGTTAAATGCATTTTTCACACTCACGTGAAAAATCCCTTCACTTACCGATAAAGGTGCAAATATGCTTCGAAAATATGATTAATTTATCCTGTTTGATGTGTGTGATGTACCGGTACCAGTAAATGTATACATGTGCTGCAAGTAAATGACACAAAAGTATGAGGCTTAACAATTATATTATGGATCATTCTACGGGTATAAATTTGGGGTCTAAATGTGTGACATGTTTCTGTCCCTATAAAAGACCATCTGAGTGTAGAAAAAAATCACTGAAACTGACTTCAAACTATTTTTCTTTGTTTGGCAGGCAATTTATGTACATTACATTAATCTTGAAAATTAAAGAACATGTTCTAAACTTACAGAATCCAGGCCCTGTGCTAACTTTTTTTCCTGGCTAGCCCACTGGGCTAGTTAACTGGATATTTTACTTGCCCGTTTCGAGTTTTGCTAGTCTGTATATAAAATAAGAAAACCCCAAAATTTGTTATCAGCTTACCAGTGAAGAATTTGACATTTCAGAAAAAAAAATGCTGACGGTAGAAATAATAAAGAGGCATGTATGTTAGTTAAAAAACGACACTTGTGTCACTGGTCACAGAGTCGGGATCAAAATCATCTAGAGAATTATCTCCACGGGAGTTGCCAGAGTCACTGCCATGACCTTCAGCCTGATCTTCATCTGAAGAACTGTCACAATCTTGGACCCACAGGTCTTGGGGGTTCATGGTGTGCCTTCTTGATTCTCCTTGTTCCCCCCGTTAATCACGGGCATTGGGTCAAAGTCTTTTCTGGGAGGGGTCTGTAGCATGACAACCGACTGGTCACTGATGCAATCATCCTCGAGGCAGGTTCGAGACTTCGTCTTCAGAAGTTTCATTCTGCAAAACCTTCTTTCTGCTTCGGCCAACCTGGCAGGTACAGGTATGATCAGAAGCAGATTGATGAAGGTGGTTTTGTTTCCTGAACAGCAGGGATGATTTCATTCCACTGTGCTTCAGTGACAGTTTTGTACCTTAAAATAAATCAAGCAAAATATTGAACTTTATAAGTTAACTATTTACTTCAGAATAATATCTGTTTAAGTATTGTACACAACTGATTAAACAGTGAGTTATAGTAAACTAATACATGATGTACCTTGTATACACTCTGTTCTTCATCAAATTCCACTCCACCTCCAAGTCCTCTAAAGCAACATCTGCAGCTTTAAAGCTGGTTCAAAGAGTTCCTTGAGAAAGTGGACTTCTTCATCTCCAAAGTCTGTTTGAAAAGAGCAGGTAACTTACATGTTTTTGACATGACGAAATTTATTTACTGGTGTATACATGTACATAAAATTGAATTGATTAACAAATAGAAATATTTCATAATTTAAAATACCACCTTGCATCTCCATTTCTTTGCAGGCCAAAACTTGAAAGTGCATACTCTGTGAGTTTGAAGTTTGCCAGTCTTCAGATCTGACAATCCTCCATTGAGTGAAACCTGCTGACCATGGAGCACTTGCTCAACTGAGTGGTTGATGTCGCCTGTATCATCTAGTGGCTCTCCTTTAAAGTATGTTGCATGTTCTAGGGATTTGAGCCTTGGTGTAGTCCTTCAGAAATGAGATGAAGACTTTGTTCCATAATATTTACACAAAATTAACCGGAGTCCTTCAACGAAAAAGAACTTATATTTTCATTATCCTTACTAGCTAACAATGAGAATAATTTTGTAGCTTACTTAGTTTCATATTTGGACAGTACACACTGTGCAGACTAGTCGACGCTGCAACATCAGCCACGGTTGAGTTGGTGAGTTGTGCTGCAAATGAGACTTTGGATAGGATATTGGCAGTCTCAAGCATGAAGTGGGCAAATTGTACAATGTCTTTTCTGTGTAGCTGCCTCCGGAAGTTGTTCGCCTTGGCTTGTGCCTCACTGGTGACACCTTGCTGCCACTCTAGCTGTTAATAAATAATAAAATTTGAAAGATTAACAGTACCTAGTTTAAAATTAATAAAACCAATGCACACTGCTTTTTGATCAGATAATTGATTGTTTAATTAGCTGTCTTATCCAGATTCTGAGAGGCACAATTAACTTACATAAATTTTAATTCTGAAGATCAAAAATATTATGCCTTCTTTACTCCTGTCGAAAAGTACACATAAAAATAATGACTGTGTTATACCTGATGGAGTGACAAAGCAGTGTAGTGCAGCCATTGGCCAATTGCTTCGATGCTCGTTCCTCATGTGGCAACCATCTTGTGCTTCCAACACGTTTTGGAATAAGCTGTCTGATTCATGCCTTTCGCAGCTTCGTTAAGTCTACTTTGATTTTTGGAGTTGTTCTTACAGAACAAGTGCAGATACAGAAGCAGGCTACTGCTGTAAGCGGTTTGTATAGTGGCACTTAGCTTACAGCATCTTGACAGGCAAGTTCTAAGTCTATGGGCTGTGCAATGACCTGCCTGGAGAGCGGGGAACTTGTCTTTGAGAAGTTTATTAGCCACTCCATTGTTCTTTCCTACCTGGTAGCATAACTGATGCCCCATCGCTACCAAAACCAGCTGGTTTCTTTTCAAGAACTCTGTCGTTCAATGCTTTCAAGGACTCCTGCAATGCCCAGTGCAGCTAGCTGTGGCCAGTTAAGGTTAGCAAACTTGATAAACGATGTGAACAAGAATAGTGTGCACGTGTGCCACCGTGCTGTACCGTGTCCAACCTACCAGTCTACTCTGTGGCGTTCGCGGTCGCTTATCGCCCTACATGACCTATCGCGTTATTGAGTATCCCGTTTCGAAAACACAAATACATGTGCAAACACATCCACGATCAGGAGTTTTTGCAATTTTGCGATCATGTATTTATTATCATCAAAACATTATATATTTTGATCAAACAAGTAGGTTAAATACTGAGTTACAGAATTTTTCACTAGCCCACCGGGCAACCAAGGAACCAAGTTTACGCGGAGCATTTTCCGCGAGAATTTCGAGGCCTGAAATCAAATGCCGAATGTAACAAGGACAGGAAAAATTGGACCCCAAATTTATAGAATGACTCATATGCGCATGATGTGTGTACATGTTATTATCATTGTTATAAGTATTCGGCACTGACAATACAAAAACAGAACATGCACATGTACTGTACATGTACCTCGATACAGTACAGTGTACATGTACATGTACAATGTATGGTACATGTACATGTACCCTTTACAGGTACTAATACACAGGTACATGTACATGTACATATACATAAACATGTATGTACATGTACATGTACATAAACATGTATGTACATGTACCTTAATAAATGGATTCCCAAGGTCACAAATTACACATTTCTGTCACACTCACAGTCAGACTCAGATATCCCCACTACCATGACTACAGCAATGATTTCCAACAGATTAGTAACCACAACATCAATATGACTCACTGGTTTTGTTTTGCCACCTACCAGCTGGGGTACATGTACATGTGTATTCTTTTTTCAGGGATGTGCAGATTCATTTCAATTCCTCTCAATTGTGGGAAATTACATATGTACATGTACTATGAACTACATGTACGTGTACATGTACATGTAACACGCACTCTTCATGTACACGTACATGTACATGTACTCTACACATGTACGCAATGACTGCGCTTTCTTTGTTGACTTATCTTGAAGCGAGAGTTAATGGACGTACCGGTACATGTACATGTACAACATGAACACGTAGATGAACAGTACATGTGTACATTGGCCGTTTACACGCGCACCATACTAGCAATGAAATCAAGGCGCAAACAAGTTCTTACATGACTATTGTAGTATGTACACGTGGGAATTTAGTCTATGAATATGATGGACTCCTTGAGACAAGGCTAGTACCGCATGGCGAAACGATGAAACCGCGGCAGCAAAACGGAAGACTAATTACGTATTTCTTGAATTAAACAAAACCTTGTAAGCTTGGTGTACCAAAGCTGAATGGGCCCTCGGAAGCGTTCAATAAAGAGTGAAGTTTCAGTCACAAACATACCGGTACATGTACATTTTAAAGCTCAGATTTAATGTTAACTTTCTGAATTTTGTCACATTTCTGCCAAATAAAATGGCAGGTCGATGTCCAACATTAACATACAGTACTGTGATCAACGATTGTTACATGCTTACCCTACTCTGTGACTTCACTGTACATGTATGTAATCTGATTTCGTATAATAAGGAGTGGCACATGAACTGTCCGTTCATTAATTGTAGCAAATTTTGGACAATCGCGTGCCGGTGGGAAATAGGGAGGTGGGGTATGCTGTATTTAGTGTCTGGTTTTTTTTTTAATTTTCACTACAGAAATTATAAAAAAAGTTGGAAACATTGCAGAGTATTTCCAAACAATATTGTTATTTTTGTTTCTTTTCTTTCTTTGGGAGGGGAGCAATGTGGTTGGGCAAATGGTTTCTATGCATACATGTACCGTAATTTAAAACTTTCTCTCCTATTTCATGCTTACGAAGGTATGAAACGGAATTTGAATTTCTGAAGTGGAATTCAAGATTTGGCAAAATGGAAAATACCCATTTTTGAAACGGAAAATCATTGGCTCTATGCATGGCTTAATCAATTTTGAATTCAACTGTAAAGTACACGCAAATCTCCCTTTACAAACACAGCCTTAAATTTTTAATTGGCTAGTGAGATGGCAATGTAAATATCCATTGTCTAACATTTGTAAAATATGCAAAATCAGTAGCAAAGGGTGTAATGCATACATGCACGTGTACACTGTGCATGTTACCAGAACTGCGGAACACTGTAGGTACAATGTACCATGTACATAAATCTAAACCACATGTCCATTTATGATACATGTACATGGCTACGCTGCAATCTGGGCACGTGTGTACGGTTCTGGAAAATTGCTGGTTCCACGTGGTCATGGTGATTGTTATCAAAAGCTGGACATGAGATAATGGCACCAGCGGAATTTTAGTTTGCTTCACACACTGTCCATTCCCAGTCAGGCTTGCTTCACGGTGGTGCTCATGGTGTTAAATTTGGGGAATCCTCATGAGTCGTAGTTGAGATTTAGTCCTATTACATGTATAACACCTTTTGTACATTTACATGTGCACATTGCAGCAATATGAGGTTAGCTTTGCTGGTCAAATTTTGGGCAAAAACAAAACAAGGTGTTGTCAATTTGGGTGGGGGGGAGTTAGGCCGAGAAATAAAATCACCAGTATAAAAACAATAACCAATGGTACAGTATCTCAAAATTCACTATTTTTGAAAATGTAGGCGATTCAAATTTTTTAAACAATATTGTACAGTGACAGTAAAGATACTTTACATACTGTTCCTAACTCAATATACTGTGCATGTACTGCCCTTTATTTTTTTTTTGTGTGTCTCCAAAGTTTGGTACATGTACACGTACATGTACACGTACATGTACGTGTAGCTAAAACCCTGAGTGAGAATTATGAAGTTTATAAATTGAAGTACATGTACATGTACACCGGTGCAAGTCCATGGATTTTTCTGCCATCGGGTTACATACATTATTACATGTTTTTTCTTTAAACAGCTACATGTACATGTACATATACATGTACATATACACATACATGTACATGTATACATCATGTACTTGCACAGTAGCACTGAACCAATACCATTTACATGTACCGGTAACTGCTAACTTCCCCCTTTCGATTGAGATGGCAGGTGGTAATAATACACTACACACTAAAACTGTGTCAATGCTGGCACATTCATGAGTCCAAACCATGGCATAAAAGCTTGATGAAAGGCCAGGGACAAGGTATGAAATTGCACTGTTGTAATTGTGTGACCTAATGCTGATGTGGTTAGACTAAATGTCAGAAGGAATACATGTACATGTGCATTTGTAGGATACACATGTGCACATACATGTACCTGTACATGCACAGTAGGGGTACAAGTTTAGCCTAAACATGAAAAATTTTACATGTAAATCTAAGTCCTAAAATCTAAATGCAAAAACCTGTTATGCTTAAATTTCAGTTAGTTTAGCTAGTTTTTGAGCTAGCCACATTGAATCTATGATATCGTGGAGTACCCTAAATTTGCGCATACAAATATTTGCTCATCCAACTTGTTCGTTGAGAAACAGTTTGAACAAAATTATACACAATGACGTTAATTTAATGATCGATCATCTCTTCGCCATTTGTTTTTTTGCAGCTGTAATGTACATTGTACATGTATGTGCAAATTAAAAACTTTTCCAACGAGAATTCAGAAAAAGTATCAGCAGAACATAAAGTTTTACTCTACAGGCTACTGTACATGTAAATAAATGAATTAGACTAAATTAACTAGAAAATGGACAAATGGTCGTTCTTGCTCAAGATCAGTTTTGGACATCCAATAGACACTAAATGATGACTTTGATCAGCTTTGACTAGCTACATGGATTGAGGGCGTTTTCAGGAGAGCCTGAAAAAACACACCTTATAACAGTATTTTGAGATTTCTGTTGCTGAGGGTGGACGCAGATCCAGTGACAGTTTTTGTGACTTTTTTCAGAAATACAGGTGTAAAGAGAAATCTTGCTCAAAGTATCCAGATCAATTACCCAAATTAAAGCTAACTATGATTTATTTGAAAGAATAAAAATTCATGCAATCATACCACACTTTACCTTGAAATTAAATTGAAAAGTCTTTTTTAAAATACAAGAACAAGCAAGAAGTGGTGGGAAGACAAGATATGGTGAATGAACGTTCAACCTTCATCACCAAACCAAAGTAATAAATGAAAAAAATTATTCCTCATTCGAGAGACAAAAACTGGCAGATTTTTCAAAGGTAAGGTATTACAGATACCCTATAAAATGAAGTTTTGCAACCTACATGTACAGTGTACATGTACATGCATGAATTAAGGCAAGTACATGTACATACATGTACATGTACTGGTACATACATTTACTGCAGCCAGTGTGACTCATTTGCAGACTAGTGTGCTCCAAAAATATTACTACATGTACATGTAAAATTTTAGTCAAACTTTCAACAAGTGAAAGTGAAACTATAAAAAATTTAGTTTATTTGAGAACAAATTTTGGTTGAAGTACATGCATACATGTGACTTATGATAACTCATGGATAGCCTACCGGTACATTCTTATTTGACTGCAGGAAATGTCCAATCAAAAAGCTGATAATGCCAGAATGAAATTGATAGTGTTGGTAGCCAGCTACTGACTACAATATCGGGACATTTCGTACCCAGAACGACTCGTACGTGTACATGGGACAACTTGTACCAAAAAAACCCACACCCAGGACAACTCGTCTTCGACACTACCCATGGTGGTTTAGAAATTAGTGTGAGATTTGAAGCTTTTCATGATGGGGGGTAGTAAGTAAACTAGATAGGTTTGCGGTAGCACCATAAACCTCTTTTGGAGCATGTGGGGTTCTGAAAAGACTTGGGGGTATTCACCCCTTCAGACAGCATGCTCTGTCCGTCGTCAGAAGACTGACACTGAAATACATGTAAGTGGCAATCACAAAAAAGACAAGTAAAGCCCTTTTCACTGCTTACTAATCCTGGGTTGTCCTGCGTATGAATTGTCCCGAGTACATGTACGAGATGTCCAAGGTACAATATATGTCCATTGTTCCAAGATGTCCAACATTCTTGACTACTCCACATCGTAAATGTACAGTGTAGGCCTACCTACATGTATGTTTTGTCCAACCACTTTTTTGGCCTAATTTCATGCACTGAAATGAACGTCAGGAAAACATGCCTTGGACAAAACTTGATGCCCCTGTGCACAAATCTATGAGACTTGTCTGAATAAAACTCGGTGTTTCTACATGTATGTAAATGCTTCAGAATTTTCTCAGTTAAATTTCACTTTTTGGGACATGTTATCATTTTCTGACAGCTGTTATAACATTACGGGAAAATCAGTTTTGTCCATTAATATGGAACGCGTATCCATGCCTGTCTTGAGACTTAAATAAGCTTTTTTCAGGTTTCATGTGCGCAAGCTCAGAGGACTCAACAGAGGGAAACAGATTCATGACAATAACGTTGCGTAACGTTTGGCGAACGGATGCTCGCGAATGTTGTTGTTGTAGACAATTTGTTCCCCTCTAGCTTTGTTTACTTACTCGCGTGAGGGTGCTAAAATCAACATGGTGACGGAATGAGAAATTAGCTTACTACTGACGATTACATCATAGATCATTACATAAGTGTGCGATGTGTTGGGGTCGTTTTCATCATGTTGATCACTTTTCGGGAGATTGAGAGGGTGGTGAATAAAATTAAAGCTCCGATTGTTTTTTTTTTCAAAAAAAGTCAGTCACATGCCATGGTCTTAAAACCAAACAAAGGTCAGAAGATTTAAAGAGATGTGCATTAGGCTTTTGGCTGTTTGGGGGAATATTTGATTGATTGAAAGAAGAATTTTTAAAATGCAAATGTAGGCCTACCCCGATTTAACGTAAGTGCTGAGCTACATTCAAAAACCCCATAGCGTTACGAACTCATTAAAAAAGTCGTAGGGCTTAAAGTCACTCGGATATTGGAGTTCTGCAGGTACACACGTTACAGCATGCCGGACAGACAGGGAGGCGGGGCCGCGTCCATTTTTCTATTTATTACTTACTGTGAAAGGAACGCCTTCAACGTATCCAACAGCAAAACAACGATCCCCGGGATTGACAGCACCCGTCAAGACTTGGTGGCGATTCATGTTCAGATAAACGGGCCGGGCTGCTCATTTTCTTTCGAAAAATAGATGTTTTCTCGATGGTCAGTGTGGGATTAGTCACGAGAAATTCGGCAGAACGGTGACAGCCATATTAATAAATGGTACTTGGCAGCTGCAGGTAACATAATGGGTTTGTGAACCACATGTAAACGGACACCAGTGAAGGCGATTGAATGTTGGTTAGACTCACTTAGGTCCTTTTAGAGTTTTTTATCATGAGTCACGTATTCTCCTCAGTGCCTTCATGTTGCAAAAGATTTGTTAAGTCTACTAGATGTCGTTGATGGACAGCAGATAAACGTGCTGTGTGCTGATGATAATGTTTTTTACGGCAGTAGATTTTGCGCCCCCTCTCGTCCTTCAGAAAGTTCTTTCAAAAAATAAAATCTGGACTCGCAATGCCCTTAATCAACTTATGGGTGCAGACCACTAATTCAAGTGAGAATTT